TCTATAAAAGTATATTATGTGATAAATATTAAAAAAATAAAACAAATAAAAGACAAAAATTTGAAAAATATATGAATATTTTAAATACAATGATATTATTTTGAATTCAAAAATATATCAAGTACATTTTTATATTTTATAAATAATTTTTTATTAAAAAAATAGTTAATTTTATATTTTTTGATCTATTTTAAGAATACAAAAAATAAATAAATTTTATATTTAATAAATAATATAAATACTTAGAGATGCAAGAGTACATACTAAGTTAGAAAAGTATGTATTTTACATAATTCAAGTTAATAACTTAAGATATATTGTTTCAAATGATGGTCTCATGATGGATTTCAAAAAAGTTCAAACTATCATAGATTGAAAGAATTTAAGAATAATAAAAATATTTAATATTTTTTAAAATTTATTAATTACTATCAAATCTTTATTAAGAATTTTTTCAAATTAATTCTCTATTTATATGATTAATTAGTAAAATAAATTCGAGTGAAATAAAGAAGTTGAAGTAATATTTAAATCTTTAAAAAAAATCATATTTTCATCAATTATATATTGTATTGACGTATTTTAAGCAATTTATGTGAAAAAAAATATATCAAAATTTGCCTTTAGTTCAATATTATCATAAATAGGAACAAATGAAAAATCTCATCTTATAGTTTTTTTGTAATGAAATTTCCAACAAACAAGTTTAACTACAAGATTCATGACAAAGAAATTCTTGCAATTGTAGATATATTTCAAATATAGTGTTATTATTTAGAAGATGCTTCTAGTCTATTGATTGCATATGCAAATCAAAAGAACCTCAAGTATTTCATATCAATACATGTTTTGTATTGTTGTTAGGTCCAAATATGTATGTCTTTATTAATATTTCTATTTAATATTGGCCAAGAAAATAAGAAGGTTTATCAAATGTCTTCTTTAGAGGTTCTTATTTTGTATCTAAAGAAAAAAATATAACTTTTAATAAAAAAAATGGATGATTTTCTTGAAATTAGAGTAATTTCTTCTTTAAGCAATAAAATCAACTTTAATAATTGATTAAATCTTTTTTGATCAAGTTTAGTTAAATATATTTTTAAATATTTTCATTCATAATATTAAAAATAATTATTTAAAAATTCTCGAGGTTCTTAAGTTTGAAATCAGAAAAAATCTATTTTATTTTAAAAGATGCTTATATTTTCTAAAAGATGAAGTACAATTATAAGCTCTGTAAGTTTGTCATGACTTTCTAGTTGTAGGACATTTTAGATTAGACCACATTTGAAGCTATCAAAAATCTTTTAATGAAGTTGTAACTTTAATACTATATTGGTAATAAGCTATGATTACTTTATCATAATATCAAGACTATTTGTCCTTGTCACAAGTTGAATTACAAATAACTTATATTATTTTTTTTTTATAAATAAAAAAAATCTAGTGGCATATTGATTATATTTACCAAAGTCTATAACAATCCATCTCATATTCTATAAGTTTATTTTTGAGTCATACAAGATAAAGAATATATTGAGAAGAAGACAAATATCACTTTATTTAATAGAAGTGGACAACAATCGAAAATTTAAATAGAAAAGATCTTAGATTTTAAGTGGCACCAAAATAGGTTAAAATATTTTATATATTGGGGCGGATATGATATTAATAAATGCAAAAGGAAGCCATTCAATAATCTTTTAAATACAAAAGCAAAGATTTATACTTTTTATTAATAATATTTATTAAAAGTAAGATAAAAAAAATTAATAATTGATTTATTGTAAAGCAAAATTGATTTTACAAAGATAGCGTTCTATTTTATATATTTTTTAATAATTATTTTATGTTTTTTATTCTAATGAGATAAAAAAAAATCAAAAATTAATAGATTCAACTTAAAAGCTATTGTTTCTTGAGTTATCAAATGAGGAATTTAAATTGTTACAACCATCAAAATGATGTAATACAAATAAAGATCCTCAAGAACGATGTATACTTCCTTAAATAAATGGCAAGCTACAATACATTTGATATCACAACTTTGAAAGAAACTCTCAAAATTTAGTAATATTTTTAGAAGTAGAAACCACTCTTCATGATATTCCAAATGTTTTATTTGAAAGAAGTTATGTAAGGCTCAACAATCATGAAATAGGAAGGTGGTCTTTTTACCTTAGTATGAGACACTATTAATGGCTAAGAGGACCTATAAACTACTTTTAATATGAATAAAGATCAAAGTATGTTGTAAATATAATTTATTGCATTTTAGAATTTTTCTACATGTCATCATTATTTCTTGTAGAATTTATTTCTAAAAAAGAGACTAATATCATAGACATACATATTTACCTTAGAAATTACTTAGATTGAAAAAATTAAATTGAAATAAGTATAAGTAAATAAATTTGATAATAGCTTGTAAAAAAGCTTCTTAGAAGCTTCATTAACAAGGACTTAATTTTATATGTGTTTATAAGTAATTAGTAGAATAAAAACTTATCCAATTAGTTGGCTAGTTGTAGTACAAGTTGGCTATGTGATATACATATAGAAAACTTGCCTTACAAATTAGACAAGTGTCTTGCAAGTTGAACATGTATTGAAAGTCTTATAAAATATTAGCTTATAATTTTTAATTAGACAATATATATAGAAGAATTAATAAGGCCTTTGTCACTCTTATCAACTTCTAGTTAGACAATATATATAAAAGCATTAATAAGGCCTTCCTCATTCTTATCAACTTCTTTCTTGCTTCTAGTCTAGTTTCAAGAATTTTTAGTTTTTTTGCCTTTGGCAATAGCTATTCTAATTTCTTCTTCATCATACATATTTTTATTTTTATTTTATTTTTTATAATTTTTCTTTTGAAGACACATTACTTATTTAATTACATTCTTTGAGTTCTTATCTTTGACATTAGATTATAAAGAATTTTTAAAAAAAATTAGAACTACTATATTATAAATTAGATTATGTTTCAAATGTACTAGGTGTTTTTTTTTTTTAATATTTCTATGGCTATATTCAAATAAATTAATATTATTTATTAAAGATGGTTTTTGAAAAAAAAATCTACAAAGAAAACTTAATTATTAATATTTATATTAATATTGATCAAAATAATTTGTAAAATAAAAATTTAAATAAGTTGGAATATTACTAATTACTATTCAATAAAAAACATAATATTAATACAAATACAACTTATAAAAGCATCTTTTTTATTTTTTATGGTGAATTAAAATCATCAAATAATTTTTTTTATATATCATGTTTTAATTTAAAGTAGATCTTATATTTTATAAAATTAAGTTAAGAAAATATATTGGAATTATTTTTAAATTAGAAAAAAAATACTTAATCATTTCTTATACTTTGAAAGATGCTTTGAGATGGAGAGGTAAGATTAGGTTTTGTAGTCACCATATTAGCAATTATTATAAAAAATTTGGCACAAAAATAGTTGATTAGATTTTGTAAAGCAATCATAACTATAATTAAGTTATAATATGTTATTAAGATTAAATATTAAAAAAAAGTCTGCATTCACAATAAATATTTAACATCTATAAGAATTTAATTGAATTATAATTGCTATATTTTAAAGCCTTAAAAAATAAATCCACACAAATCAAGAAAATACTCTTGATTCTAGACAATTCAAATGACTAAAAAAACTATCTAGAAAGATAATTAGGTAGAATTAAACCAAGATTAAATCTAAAAAACTTTCTTATAATTTATTCATTCTTATTTTAAATTATAAGTAGGATTTTATAAATTTTATAGGAATAAACAATATCCAAAAACCACATTAGCTATTTGTAATGGTGTTCTAGATTAACGTCTAATTCTTTTAATATTATATATTTAAAAATAATTATTATTATATTTAAAGACTAATTTTTAGACTTCTTTTATATTTTATGTTTAAATCATTAAAAATTTTAAATTAACATATATTTCTATTTAAAAAATTAAAGAATTAGCATGTAGATTTTATAAGTATAGTTGATGTATTAATTTTTAAAAATAGAATTTGTTCTCATTTAATATTATTATTTTTTTTTAGAACAAGTTTTTATTTGATGTAATTCATCCATATTAAAGTTAAAATGGTTGAAAGTTTTTAAGTTGTAAAAATTGCAATAGTTGAAGGAATCTTATAATATCTTCTATTGTATTCTATTAAGTCACAATCTAAATTATTTTTATCATATTCTTTGCAAACAAAGTAACCAACAAGGTTTTAAATATGACCTCAAAAAAAGTATTTATATGGCAAGGATTTAATTAGATATGAAAGGATTCTACAAATTTGCAAATCAATTGTATTGTAGATGAATTTATGTGATTTTGCCAACTTAATACTAGTTTTTTTTTGGTCATTATGTGGTCTTCATTTTAATCATCGTTGGACAATTCATCTAAAATCTTACATAGCTCAAATTTATGCATGTGATTAATTATCTACATTCAAAATACTATTTGACTTTATAATCTTTATAAAATTTAATATGCACCATACAACTAATTACTACAAAATAAATAAAAATATTGAATTAATGATTGAAAGTTGTTAAGATAAGAAATAAAACCTGAAGAACTTAGTAGCCTATAAGTGTGGATTGTACCATATACTACAATTGTCCTAAAATTTTATTTACAAATAAAATAATATATATATATATATATATATATATATTTTACATGTTATGTTTTGGCAAATTTTTCAAGTTTCTATCAAGGTACTTCACATTTGTAACTTTGCTTGGTTTAAGTAAACAAATGCTTTACAATGTATTCATGAAAAGATATAGAATTCTTTTGTGGAAAATAGAGAAAAAACACCATTGACTTGAAAATGACTTGAGCATTAAAAGTTGGGACTCCACAAACAGTTTTGATACGATCCCAAAAATGATACAATATAAACAGCAACCTTTGGTTTATTTGCATACACGAAATGTGGCTCAAAAGCCAATTCAGTAGATGAATTCCAGACAATAGACGCTGGCTTTCATGTTAAATGGATGAATAGACCTCAGTAGTCAGTAGAGTTTACCAACAAAGTTAAGAAAATCAGAATTACGTAGGCACAATATAAAATTGTCCTTACTACAAACAAATTCAACGCTACGCACTTCACATTTATAGCAGTGCCCATAAAAGTCCAGTTTCCAGCTCCATTGAATTCAATGGTCAAAGCTCTTCCTACATGTATCAATACGTCGCACTTCCCCAATATCAGGGTATATTTATGACTGACTCTCGACTGGAGCACAAGCACCTTCCAACCCACCAGCTCAAACCATATCTCGGAGGCCTATCCATGTCTACAAGAATTTAGAGCAAAATGGTACTAAGTTTTGCAGAAGACAAGATCTGGTGCATTCGGAGCAAAATATAAACGAAGAGTGATCGACAACTGGAAGCCCAACATCCCATGCATCCAATCGAAGGGCGACTAATAAGTTAAAGATGGTGAGGACCTAGAGATGTTTCCGACAGAGGTCAAGATACGACCTTCATGAACAATCAAGGTCGGCAACATTCTTCCCTGACACATATTTCAGCACTAGAGGCACAGTCCTGGACAAGGCCGATGCAGCTGTTGACATATTCTCAAGGAACTCCTCCACCGTTGGCTTGGTGCCATCCACAATGTCTGTTACGGCCTTCAAGGAGATCATGGGAATAGCCAACAGATTCGCTGCGTACGCTACTGCCGCACCCTACAGCACAAGGCCCCAGGAATCTTTCAGAACCACATTAACGAAAGCTACAAGCATGGCATTAAAGCCCACGAAGCTGTTCGTTCAAAACATTCTAGAGAGAAGTAGGTAGGTAGATTTGTGGTCTATGCCCCCTCTTATGTGCACTGACCTCCATGTCTTTGACAGTTGCATCGTTGGCTTTTATGTGTTCCTCATCTTGCAGCGTCATGTCCAAGGAGTTTCCAGTGGATACCTTTCCTTCCTAAAAGGTACATTCAAGAAAGCAAGTAGGTTGGGTCGTGGACATCCAGCTGACAGGCTAAACGAAAACACAGCAATCCAACTGCCGGATAACGTTATCATAAACAAGACACCTTCAGATCCTGCCATGGCTCACCTTCAGGTCTAGGTCTTTGATGAGGTTGCCAGTAGGAATGGCTACTATGGTCCCAATTCCGTACTTGTCAAATACCTGTAGGAATGTTAAATGGAGGTCAGCCTGATTACCACTGCCGTAACACATCAGTGCTCGGAACTCCACAAACTCCAAGCAATAAACAAATAAAATTCAGATGAGGTTCATTCTCTTTACGCACAGGGATGGGTATCCTACGGTCATGATTGGCAAACTCTGTTGCAACATAGACATCGCCAATGTTGGCGCCCTTTGCCTGGAAGATTAACCAATAAACTATAAGCGGTCTCATAGCTCAAAGATGTCATCATGGTTAGCGAAAAATAAAATCTAGAAGTTCAAGGAATGAATTGCGCACGGAAAAAATAAAAAAATAAAAAAAAATGAATAAACATATAGAAAAAGTTTGTTGCTTTAATGCTATCGTTTTTATCGATTGTGGAAGTTACTGGGTTTCTTTCTATGAAAATTGCAGCAACGCTGCGGGGCTACATTTTACAAAAATTATGATAAATCTGGTCAAAGGGCTTGTGCGACATGTTAAAACAGAGATGCGCATAATGTAGATCTGAACAAGAAAATGCCTGAAAGCAGATGCAAGAACAAACGAATTGAAAAAAACAATGAAGTAACCTGGAATCCACCCGCAGTGCCAGCATTGATGATCAAATTAGGTTGTAGAGCTACACCAGCTGCGTATGTGAGCAAAGAAGAAGGAACAGTTCCCACGCTATCCACGCCTAGGTGAAAAATAAAGACAAACTTCACATGTCGGTTGAGAGAAACTTTTTGAATGAGGTGAATTTTCACTAGGCATGTAATTAGAACATTGCATCTTTGATAAGGATGTCAAAGATGCTTTTTATCAGTAGTTTAGTTCACCGTATCAAAACGTGAAATGAGTGCAAACCTAAGGCTTTGTCCTTTCCAGGAACAACAATGTGAACATTAAGACCATCAAGTACGCCAGAGTACTTCTTCCATGGAACTCCTCCCGGAAATCTGCGAAAGGAAAAAGCCATGAAATACATGATCTGCACTTTTGTCCTCCATGAACGGCAACATAAACCTGAGGGGCACGACGTAAAGGATGGATAACTTACACGGCTGATAAGTCGTCTTCCACAAGGTCGAGCGCTTCCACCAAGGGGAGTGCTTCGGCCTGCATTGCTAGCAACACGTACGAGCACAAGAAAGGGTCAGACAACTGTTTCGGAGACAAGCGTCTGTTACAAAAATATAAAGCTCTTCAAAGTCATGTATATATATATATATATATATATATATATCCTCCTCCAAACGTAAATAAATAAATTAAAAAGCAAGACGAAGGCTGGGTAACTCTCTCACCAATGACAACCATGACTGTCTTGATCCCACCAACGTCCCCCGATCCTCCCATTATTAATTCTCTATCAATCTTCTCCTGAAACCACCAAATTTCTTCTCACATTTGTCACGGCCTCAAAAGACACATAGAAGTTCGATATCAATATTGGCACAATAACATAACATGAGTGGAATCCACAATCCTGTGTGTTGGTTGCTCCGTTTATCCACACCCGGGCAATCCAAACTCCAATTCATCTTTGGGAATCATTTCCATGTCAGGTTAAAAAATATAAAAAATGTCCTCAGCGAGATTGCCACAATATGAAAGAACTCCTCGCAACTGGATTTCATTGCTCACCTAAATTATGCTTAAACTCCATGTCTAAAGTACACATTCGATATCTTGATAAAAAGAATTGCATGAACAGAACTGGTTGGAACTTTCTGTCAACGAATCACTAGAATCTACCACAATAACAGCGCAGCATTACAAAGAGTCCCAAGAAAACACGTCCTGGCTCCAGGCCCTTCTCTGATTTCTTCAACGCAAGATCGGGTTAAGTACGTGCAGACGTGATGTCGACCCACTAATTCACCGCATGACCACTCGAAGAACGAGGAAGAAATCCGTTCGTTGGTAAGAATGAGCCACATGGGAGATCCTATAATCCTTCTGCTTTAGCGTGACCACCAAGAGAACATCCTCTCACAGTGAGAATTGACGTTACACCACTCAGAAAAAGTCTAGAAAAAATGCTACGACGCAGAAGTGAACCGAGAACGTTTGACACGACCTTCCAACCACTCCTCAAACCTTGAACCAATTCTGCATCCGCAAGCCAATAAAAAAATCCCTTAAAACTGCTCATCGCTCAATACCCAATTTCAAAACACTCAACAACCCACATACTCACTTACTCTATAATCTAAGCACCAGTAAAGGGGGAAGAAAAAAAACAGAAACCACTTCAAATTCAAACATGAGCACTGCCGACAATCTGCATTCACAAGCTCACCACGCAACGAACAGGAAAATCTCAGCGTCGTAGAGCTTACGAATGCAACAACGCGGTGATTCTTGTGTACGCTCACGCCTCGCTTCAATACAAAAGCATAAAAGCCTCTCTCACTTGTGCACGACAAAATGCCAATTCAGAGCCTGAAGGCGCGATGTGGGGGGCAGACGATTCGCACAAACCCAACGAAGCTTTCCGACACCGATGCCTGTGATCATCGCATCACATCGCATCATCCTCCTCCTCCCCCACCCCCACCTTCGTCGCACAGACTACGACCCCGGCGACCAGCGAATGCCCACGTCTCTCCCTCTGCTTCCAAAAGAACGGTGGCCGGGGGGGGGGTGACGCCGACCGCTGGACGGGGATGGCCACGACGCAGGTGCCCCTTCAGGGGCGAGAAAGGAGGGCCTGGCACTTCATTCCACCAGCACACGGCATTTCTCATTCGTAAGAAGGATGAAAGTCGTTCATCGGACCTGATGGCTGGAAAAGGAGACTGTGTTTGTTTCTCAACATGATAAAGAATCTATTGAAAATATCGTAAGATATTAATGTGAATGTTACATGGATGCTACTACGCCCTCTTTTGTGGTACTTGTGTGGATGTTCTCACGTTTGTTGTACATGGGTGTACTTGTGGAGAATAATGCATTTCATGTTTAAATAAAACAATTATAAATCAATAAAAGAATAAACGAGTTAGTTATGTTCTTGTTGCATTAACATTTATTTTTTGACCAGTTGAGTTGTGTTCCAAAATCTGTTGGAAGCTGTTGCATCGTGATGGTAATGAATGATTGATTTCATGTATTTGTATATGTATGTGTGTGTATGTGTGTATGTATTAGCTATAAAAAATGACCAAGATTTTTAAATGATTTTAATGTTATAATAAAATTGAATACAATAGATTTACTAAAATTAACATATTCTTATTGTAAAGTATTTTAAAATACTATTAATATTATATTAATAAAATAAAATAAAATAAAATAAACTTATATTTATATATAAATATATATATATATATCTTAATATGTACTCATATATCAAAGTTGTTTTACATAGTTATTATGTAAATAATTATTTAATAATAGAAATATACTATTAAATATTAGATAATTCATTTAAGATATGATTATTAATTATAAAAAATTAATAATTTCTATTTGTAAAATCTTACAAATGTCAAAAAAGTAAGATGAGGGGGTTAAAAAATCAGAAAAATAGAAGATGTATATGATATCAAATTAGAACCAAATCCACATACAAGACTAGCAACAAGTCATTATTGTAATTATCTAGTTGATAAGATTAAACAATACCATCTTTTTCCTCCTTTTATATTTTAATAATAAGATATTGTAGAAGTTCATCAAATAGTCTATCTAATTTTAACTTTTTTTTGTTTATGAATAACTTTAACCATACTTTCAGCAATTCCACTAATCAATATCAATTGATGGAACTCACGAGTTGTTGCAATAAAACTTCAAAAAAAAATATTATATCCATATAGAATGACATTATAGATATAAAGAAATTATCTTTAAGAAATAATTTAAGATTTAAAATATCACCAAAATTAAAAAAGAATAGTTCATAAATATTATAAATTGACTTAAATAATACCTAGTAATAATTTATTTTCCAAAGACATTTATACACTATAATGACCTTGGACATTATATGCAATGCTACTTATCTTTTATAAACTTAAAAATAGACCATCTATAAATCCTACCTTCTCTCACAATAATCAAAGTCTTAAGTTTCAGCAAGTCTCATGGGTAAGTAAGATAATGAAGGATATTATTGACATTTTTATTTTTATTATTATTATTATTATTATTTTGTTTCTATCTACATCTCACTTTTCTTGTTTTCCATCTCTCATAGTAGGCTCTTCTTCCCTATACATATACTTCACACAATGCATGTAAAATTAATGGAGCTAAGATAGCCTTACATATATTCATTTATTTTTTAGCAACTATAGAAGTATGTTTGCAACCCTATTAGTTCTTTTATACTATTTTATTATTATCAATTTTTAAAGAATATATTACTTTAAAATAATAAAAAATATATTTTATTATAATACCATTTATTAACCTTTTGATGTATTTTAAGAGTTGTTGATTGATATCACTAATTAAAATTCTTTACTTATTTATTATTTATGTTTTTATTATTATTTTAATAATATATTAAAATAATAAAAGGGAAAAAATATTACTAATCATTAGGTTTGATTATTGGTAATGGTGTTTGAAAGGCATTAGTGTTATGTTAAGCATGAATAACTATCTAATACCAATTTAAATTTAACATTTGGTGTTGCAAGCAACACCTCTAGTGACTTGTATTCTGTACTTACAAATAATTATAAACATTGATATATATATATATATATATATATATATAATAGCATAATAGGATTATTAAAAAATACATGTAAAGGTGTTGTAAATTAGCAAATGCAAAGGTGTTGTAGATAAATAAATTTGATACAATAATTTCTTTGTTATGTTCATACAAACATATTATTATTATATTTTAGCTAAAATTTATATAATTTATTTTGGTATTGAAAAAGTTTAAATGACTTATTGTGGGATTGTTGGTAACAGGATTATTGATGTAGGTACAAAAGAAGGGCCAGTGGTATATTATACAATTGCCAATAAGAAGATTATTGATGTAGGTGTTGATGAGATATTACTGGCTTGTTGTATGGTTGCAAATAGAAAATGATTGTTACTATGAATTTTGATGAGGTATTGGTGGTTTCTTGTGCAATTGCCAATAAGAGAATTATTGATGTAGATATTGAGATACATCAGTAGCTTATTATAATAAATGTTGTATAGATTATATTATATAGAAGAATGTTTTTGTGGTTGATAGGAAGTTTGCATCAAAATATGTGATTTAGCATCTAACACCAAACTTCTTTGTAAGAATTAAATTAGAAACAAGTTTAAAGATTATAGAATTGTTTCCTAATTTATCTTCTTTGGTTCTAATTTATATCTTGTATTATATTGTTTTTTGGATGTTGCTATCACCGTACACCATATCAAATATTTTTAACTTTCTCAGATTAAAAAAAATGCATTCTTGCATGCTTCGAGAATGTGGCAAAGTTATATTCTATTTATCAAACATGAATGTCTTTATTATAACAATATGATAGATAATCTTTATAGACCCAATAAAATATTATTATTTTTATTATTATTAGTTAGATTAGCAGTATAAAAACTTGCAACATGTAAGGATACATAAAATATATAATCATAAGTTTAACTACTTGCTACTAGCTATAACATTAGAATACAATGTGATGAACTTGTTCAGAAACATAAGTCACAGACATCAACTACTGATTTTAGTGATTTTTTTAAAGGAAAAATAAGAATTAATAATTGAATTTTTATAAAAATATAACAGATAGCACTTCAAAATAATATAAAACATAAATAACAAGAAGAAAAAAATCATTAAAAATAAGAAAAATAAATCAAACATTGTTGTGACCATGGCTCTAGAGTTGTTAACTAAGCAAAGAAAGTTATGCAAGGTTTCCATAGCTCCATTAATTGTAGAAACATTGTCCAAGACACACACACCATGGCAAGAGGCCATCTAGATTGTCAAGAGCAAGCAAATTATGTGGGAGGAAGTGGAAAAAGAAAAAGAAAACACATGCTGCCCACACAACCTTCACTAAACTACAAGGCAGGCTAGCCTACAATCCTCACTCACCGAGACTAGCTCACGGAGCTTGCTGGGACCCGGAACTTCAACTAATGCAAAGCGAAGGTGGGACCTAAAGAAGGTGTTGTTTTTGGAATTGCATCCAATGACCGGCCTGTAATGACAAGACCAACAAGTAGAATAACGTGGCTGGGAGAGAGAGGGGGAGCGGATGCAGTGACACGGGCCATCGGGACCCAGCCCGTCGGGAGCCCGCGCAAGGCCCCCGGCGTGGACGCACGCAGTGAAGACCCAGCAACGCAATCCAAGCCATGGCTGCTTCTGCTCCCGCCCCGACGAATTCCGTCATTTCCATGGGGTCACGGCGCGGAGGCGTGTATTCTCATCTGCGATTCCCCTTGTGCAGATGGGTTTTTGGTCAAAATCCCAGCTTCTTTCGCATTCTGCTGGTTTTCGACGGAGATCTCCCACGGCCCTGTGGTTGAATGTTTCAATGGTCGAATGGCCGAGTCGTTGAGTTACCGATCGTCCGTGCAGCGCCCACATGTTGAAGCTCTGCTCGAGGTACTCGTCCTGTTCGTTAAGGTTTGATTCTCTGGATTGGTGCTCAACAGCGGGACTGAGCGTTGGTGCGCGGAAATGAATTGGGCACAGGGAGATGATGTTTTGCGAGTGCGGGATGCGGAGGAGGGCGGGGAGGAATTGGAGATTGGGGTTTTAGTGACGATTTGACCCGGGCAGGGAGGCAGCCGCTGTATTTTTTATTTAATTATTTCATTATTTCATTCTGAGCTCGTGTGAGACTTTCAACCCCTTGAAGTTCAATTCGAGGGGCTCTGTTGCCCTCAGTAGCGGGTAGAATTGACAGATAGTTTCAGCACGCAATTGGTGGAGTCTTGGCAAATGCTGTAGATTTTAGAGCCCGAGTTGGAGAGCCGTAGGCTGAGTGTGGTAGTGAGGGCATACTTGGAGGCTGGGAGAAATGTCGTCTGGAAAGCCCTCCGTGAGGTCTCGTCCTGGCTCCCTGTCGAGGGCGGCACCTGTGAGGTCCGTTTATGACTCCTATCGTGAAGAGCAAGAGGCAAGTCTCGACAGGAGATCTTGGAGTCAAAGCAGTTCGAGGAGCGATTCGAGGAGCGACTCGAGAAGCGATTCGAGAAGCGATTCGAAGAGGGCTGGAGATGCTCAAAAGTGCGTATCCAAGAGCGAGATGGTTAGGAAAATTTTCCTCTGTCCTGTGTTGATCGCTGCTTCAGCATGAATGCTGACTTGAGCTGATTTAGATTTCAGAAGAGTAGAGGGTTCATCATTGCGAAAGCTGGACCCATTGACATTATCACTTTTGATTGACAGGACATTCGGGTCGTATGCGAGGAGCTCACAGAGTTGCAAAAAACATGTGCAGACAGCATGCGAAAAAATGCTTATGAAAATTACGGCGTATTCATTAGGTAATTTCCCATTTCTTTCTGCTCGCTGAATATTGCTTGTTGTAATTGAAGTTAGTCTCGTTGCCTTAGTATCCTGTTGCGGAGCAAACCTGCCGTTGTCATTGACAAGGTGATGTGTTTGCTTGTGAAGGACCTCTCAAGAAATTTCAGACATAGAAGTTGAGGTCACGACTATGAACAACATGCTGCGATCCCAAACAGATCTGATCCGCACTCTAGCTGGAAGTGGGGCTTCTCTACCACTAGCTGAATCGACGGAGCGTCTTAGCAGAGACTATTTCAAGGACGACGACGACGACGACGAAGAGCCTACAGACTTGGCGAAGCGTATAGAGCTTCTTCCTGATAGTCTGGACGTGCTCTTAACAGAACGGAGGGTAGATGATGCTCTTGCTTTGCTTGAGGAAGGAGAGGCCCTAGCGGTGCGACTCTCCAAAGCAAATGGAGGAGTCGAGAGCGTGAATAGAGACGCCGTTCGGCAGTTCGAGGAGAATTTATCGGAAAGGAAATCAGGTTTGGTTGTTTATTTAGTGGACGCAGTGCGGCAACTCACATTCAGAGGCTCGGAGCTCAGGCATGCCATTGCTGCGTTGGACAAGCTAGGGGACGGATCTCGTGCTCACACGCTGTTGTTGCAATCTCACGAAGAGAGGTTGAAGCGTAACATGAATCAACTGCGACAAGGTGGCGCCTCGTATGGGGGTGTTTACACTACTGCCGTTTCACAACTGGTCTTCTCTGCCATTGCTCAAGTGAGAGTTTTAAGTTTCTGTGCTGAAAAGCCTCATATTCTTACTTTCTGCGGTTACGGAACCTAACCCTTCTCTGGTTTGAGCCGATTATTGTTATTGATCGTTTTTGATCCCGCTGATTTGAACTGCAGGCTTCTAGAGATTCGGTGGCCGTATTTGGTGAGGTGCCCTCGTATGCCTCAGAGCTAGTGCTGTGGGCAACCGAAGTGACCGAAATGTGTGCTTCTGTTATTACACGTAATGTGCTGTTGTCATCAGCTGCATCTGGGAGCCTGCGAGCAGCTCTAGAATGTGTCCAAATTGCCCTTGGACACTGTGCTTTGTTAGAAGAGCGGGGTTTGACGCTGTGCCCCACACTCACGAAGCTGTTACGACCCAGTGTAGAACAAGCTCTGCAAGCGACTTTGGCCAGTATTTTGGAAGATGTGGGCTCTCTGGCTGCAAATGACAACTGGACCCTGGATGTCTCTCCTCAACGAGGTTCACGTGGCTTTATGTCAAATCTGAGACTCACTACCAGTGGCCACCGCTTCCTTTCACTGGTGCAGGTGGGTGTGTTGCCGTATGCCGAATTTATCTCATCGTATAGCGAAGAAACTAAATGTTACGGGCTATTCGTTGTGCCATCCAATTTTAACTCGACCAATGTTATCTCTGTAAACTCGTGATGATCTGTGATTTTTGGTGGCAATCCTGCTCATTAATCAGGACTTCCTCGAAGACTACCCAGCTCTTGTCAGCATACAGTTGGGTCAAGGTGTACTGGATTGTGTGGTGGAGATCTTTGAGCAATATGTTCAACTGCTTGTTAAGGCGCTCCCCGGTCAAGAGGTCGAGGAGGAAGGCAAAAGGAAGGTCAGCTCGTAGACAATCCATCTTCTTCTTCTTCTTTCTTTTGTCTTCATCATGATATGCATTCATATCAGTTGATATTGTGAATGTGATGTGTCGCTCAGAAGGTGGCTGATGTTAAATACGATTGGCTTTTTCTGCAGGTTCGAATAGCAGCCAGTGAGGACCAGCAGTTGTCATTACTGGGCAACGCGGCAGCACTAGTTGATGAGCTTGTGGGAGGCGCAGCTTCCACAATCTTGCCGGGTGGCACTCAATCATCCGGAGATTTGAGGGTTTCGCGTACCTCATCTTTGACAGCCCGTTCACCTGAACTCAAGGATCTGCGGCGGCAGCTCCAATTACACGTAGAAACATTGAAGTTAAACCTCTGTAATGGAATAATTATAAGCTTGTGTTATGATGACTACGAGAGTAAGCTTAGTGCGACAACCTATTTCCAGATTGATTCGGATGTGCCCACGTGGCATGAGAATCCTACGCCCACACCACTTTTTCAGGTTTGTTCTTGACAGAATTCCTCTTAAAATGGTAGACCATTCTTTTGTTTTGACACCTTTCTTTATTTTGATTTTGCTGAGGAGTAAATTTGCTGTGGCAGTCTATATTTCAGAAGTTAGTATCCATGCATCAGGTGGCTGGGCATGTGCTAGCTGGAAAGGATAGGGTCACGCAGCTATTCCTTATACGTCTCACCGAAACGTTTGTGAAAGATTTGAGTACAAACCCGGAACTATGGTGCCCGATCGAAGAGGACCCAGGCAGCCTGGGCCCTTTTGGCTTGCAGCAATTTCTATTCGACATGCAGTTCCTCACCGTCGTTGCAAGGAACTTGAGATGCTTGTCGAGGACTGTGTTTCAAGCAATCTCTCAGGAAGAAGAGCGCATGAAGGAAGCATACAAAATCGGTGGTGCTGAACTTACCAGGTCTGTTTCGAACGGCAATTCATCTATGCACCTGCCCTGTCAGTCACTCACCCGAAGGAAGTGTTTTTGAATGCATAATTACTGCCCACTTAGCAGATCACGATAACATCCCAGCCTGGTTTATTTTTGGTTCTTTTCCTATCTCTTTATCCCCTTCATTGTGTGCTAAAATCATTCTTTGGGTGTGCTATACAGTGCTCTGCCGGACCCTGCATGGTTGGAGGCTGCAGTTTTCGACAACTTCGACCATCTAATGGACCAGTGGTTCGGTCTCAGTGGAGTGGCACCTCGAGACGTCAGCGATGTTCAGTCTGTATCGTCGACGCGCTCCAATGACTGAGATGCACTGGAATGTAGGAAGCTCGCAGCTTGTTTCACACTTGTAAATCTGCCTAGACCTCCAGGAGCTCGATAATAGCTCACCCTGCACGGAACAAGACATTCGTAGCAGCAGGTGACCATGAGAAAATCACGCCCCATTGGCACAGCTCCTTCTCATTTTGTCCGGCAACTTTGTGATTGTGATGTTGAACCCACATTTTTACGAGTAACCTTGGGGCTTTTTTTTTTTTTTTTTTTTTTTTTTGTCTAGTTCCTGCCAGTTTCCGCATTTGCTCAGGCCATTTAGAAGTAAAGCACTTCAAAAATTGTTCCAAGCTTTTGGTGCGTATATTGTGAAATCGAACTATGTACACTTATGATCTTCAGCTTTTATTACCACACGATATTGTTTTTGTTATGTGTCTTTTATCATATATATTTAGATAGTGGAATTGAATGATGGTGAGAAAACTGTTGCATATCATAGAAGATGGTTTATCAACTTTATCTAAGTAGAGTAACAAGGAAACATAGTTTGTGCAATGATTTTGATGAAGAGTTTAATGGGACCTTGCTACAATCTAGTGGCAATTGTAATGAATTTTGAATCCTAGTTTGGTTTTTATAGTAACATTTTAATATTTCAAAAGTATTGAATGAACCACTTTGAAAATTTATGATTTTTCATACAACTAGTAATATTTTAAATAAACATCAATGCTGAATGTGAAGGCACTTGGATCTAAACTTGTTTAAAATCTATTATTCAACATTGAGTGTATAAATTTTTAGTCAAGTAATTTAATATGTAAAGAAAATTCTGCAAAACCTCATCAATTTGAACAAAACAATGAATATAAATAATTTTTGTCACACCAAAATTTCTTATAAATTATATTGGTCTTGCAATTTGATACTCTTTATGTATATTTTTATATGTCATACTACTTTTATAGATTAACATACAAATTTTCAATTTGAGATATATTTTTTTTGTATAAAAGTAAATAATTTAGCTTTAGTATTTATAGATATTCCAAATGTAAGTTTTAAAGCATGAATTTTAAAGTTTGAATATTTTGTATAAAAAGACTCATCTACACTATAGTGACTTGCAAAACTATTACAATATTTCCAATTTGAAATTTTGGTGAGTCATCAAATAGAGATTGCATGTTAAAGTGAAATAGTAAAAATATAGTTACTTTCTATTATTAGTAGATTAATTGAGGTACAAGTCTTGGTACTTGTCTCAACATACATATCAATTTACAATGCATCTATTCTTTAATTGCTTTGTTCATAGGATGCATTGACATGGACCTTCAAAACTATCCCAATGAAGAGGAAATATCTAGAGCTTCAATCCATGCATCTACATGGTACAATTACATACATCGACACGATACAATTAAAAAAATATGATTTAGATGCATCAAAAGTCATATTTCAACAGGATAATGTACATATACATAGCAGTAATAGCATGAAACAATGGTTTTCTAAACAACATTTGAGTGTCTTATCTTAGCCTCTTCAGTTATTAGCTTTGAATCCTATAGAAAATCTTTGGGCCATTCTGAAAAGTAGATTAAATTAATATAATACATGTCCAAAAGGGATTACTTGAATTATGGTCTTATGTAGAAGAAACCTTCTCTTCTATCATTGTTGATGATTGCAAGAGACTTATAGAAACAATGCCTAGATAAATAGTAGCTATATTAAAAGCCAAAGAAAAATGGACTAAGTGGTGAAGAATTTCCAAATTGTACCTTCAAAACTGTCCCAATATATAGATTAGCTGTAGGATTTTTTTTTTCTTCTTTTCAATGAGAGCTTAGATTTTATTGGAATTTTTGTAAGAAACTAGTACATTATATGTATTATTTCAATAGATTTATTACATTCTATTCTAAGAATTTCTCTTACCTACATTGTTTTTTGAACGTATAAACATTGGGACAATATTGAAGGATTTAAAAATTACACTATTGTCAATATTTATTATTTTAGTATAAATTAAGAATATAAACTATTTAAATATTATAGATCTAAAAAATAATCATGATTTAAACCTATATAGAAATATGCATCTAAATCATTTATAAATTAAAATTATACATGTAAAAAATATTAGATATAATTTTAAATGGATAAAATATTATTAGTGCAAATGAATGTCAGATAACATTAAATCTTATCACTTTAGGACTCCACATTAAAATAATTAAAAAATTCTCATGATAAGATTAGAAAATCACTAGCATAAAGGAATCTTCCTATGCTTAAATTATATTGGCCTTGAACAAGTTGTTTATTAATACTTTAATAATGAAGAGGTAGTGCCTCATCACCCCACTAACGCATGCTCTTTCCCACCACAACCAAGGGCTGCCCGGTTCGGTTCCCGGAGCAAATCAGCCACGGCTCCGAACCGAGGTGGGGCGGGGCATGGATGCACCGAGTCCAAGCTGGCAATCTTTTGGCGGGTAAAGTCACTCCCCAGTCGTCACTCCCCGCAACCAAACTAAACCCTAAACCTTCAAGCGAAGTGGGAGCACTGTGCAGCCTCCGACATCAGAACCCCGGTTGCTGAGAGCTGCGACGATTTTTGTTGTTGCCCAAGACATTGTGTCTTGTGCAGGTTGCGCCTTTTTCCTATCTTTGGTTGAAGCGTAGAGAGATGGCGACGGAGGTGAAGCTGTCCGAGGGGAAGGATCTCACCAAAATTGAGCGGATTGGTGCGCACTCGCACATCCGCGGGTTGGGATTAGATGACGCCTTCGAAGCTCGCGCTGTGTCTCAGGTACAAATCCTCTTGACTTATTTATTGCACCAATGAAGGTATCGATCGTTTGAGCGTTAGCTGATTGTAAGTAACGGATGATTGTGACAATCAGGGCATGGTAGGGCAAAAGGCTGCGAGGAGGGCTGCTGGAGTGATATTGCAAATGATCAAGGAAGGGAAAATTGCGGGGCGTGCTGTGCTCCTGGCTGGTCAGCCTGGCACGGGAAAGACTGCCATAGCCATGGGTATGGCTAAGGCACTTGGTGAGGAGACTCCGTTTGCTATGATGGCTGGGAGTGAAATTTTTTCCCTAGAAATGGGAAAGACGGAGGCCCTCACTCAGGTACTAATCAAGTTGCATCATTCATTGTGGTTGTACAGAAACACGGAGTTTCATATATATATATATATATATATATTAAATTTAACTCCTTGTTATACGCAAATCATGCATATCTTCATTGTGATGTATGCGTTATGAAGGGACTTATGATGGTGGGAATGCCCTTAATTTTTCCATAACCTTGCACTTTGTAGGCTTTCCGGAAAGCTATTGGAGTTCGAATCAAAGAAGAAACAGAGCTTATCGAGGGAGAAGTTGTGGAGATTCAGATTGATCGTCCGGCCACAACGGGAGCAGCTTCTAAGACTGGCAAGTTGACCCTTAAAACTACGGAGATGGAAACGGTGTACGATCTTGGTACTAAGATGATTGAAGCTCTAGGAAAGGAGAAAGTAACCAGCGGAGATGTGATTGCCATCGACAAAGCTTCTGGGAAGATCACCAAATTAGGTCGTTCGTTTGCTAGGTCACGTGATTATGATGCAATGGGACCACAGACCAAGTTTGTACAGTGCCCTGATGGCGAACTACAGAAGAGGAAGGAGGTTGTCCACGTTGTGACGTTACATGAAATCGACGTTATCAACAGCCGGTAACCTACATGGACTCTGGTTGAATGAGATGCACACAGTCTTGGCCATTTCTTGCTGCTGACAACGATGCTACTTGCGGGTTTCGAGTATAGCTTTTCAGCGTATACTACCAAGTCTTATTTCGTTACGGTTATCACTTGCACGGTATTAGTGTAGATCGTCTTGCATTAACTATTTTATTGTGATATCTCCAGTTACTTTCGATTGTTTTATTTTCCATGCTTGCAGTAAGTTGGATTTCGTATCTTAGCATCAGCTACTAATTGATACTTATTACGTTTCTGTAGGACTCAGGGTTTTCTTGCATTGTTTGCTGGAGACACTGGAGAGATTCGGTCTGAAGTCCGAGAACAGATTGATAGTAAGGTGGCTGAATGGAGGGAAGAAGGCAAAGCTGAAGTTGTACCAGGCGTTCTGTTCATAGATGAAGTGCATATGTTGGATATGGAATGCTTCTCATTTTTGAATCGAGCATTGGAAAATGAGATGGCACCCATATTAGTCGTTGCCACGAACAGGGGAATCACCCGAATTCGGGGGACAAACTATAAATCACCACATGGAATCCCAATCGACCTGTTAGATAGACTTCTGATTATTTCTACGACTCCATATACTGAAGAAGAATTGCGGAGTATTCTTGACATTCGGTGTCAGGAGGAAGATGTTGAAATGTCGGATGATGCTAAAGAGCTATTGACCAAAATTGCGTACGTTCACTTTGAGATTTGGGTTCTCTGGGAGTGCCTAAATTATCCTATTAGCTTGTATTTCAGCCAGTTCGTTATTATTATTTTCTTTAAGAGGGTTCCTGGTTTGTATGGATTGTTCCTAATGCATACTATCAATTTTTTTTATTGCAGAAAGGAGACATCACTGCGTTATGCAATGTGTTTAATCACGGCCTCATCTCTTGCTTGCCAAAAACGCAAAGGGAAGGAGGTTGAGATTGAAGACATAACTCGTGTTTATCAACTGTTTGTTGATGTCAAGCGCTCAACTCAGTATCTCATGGAATATCAAGAACAGTTTATGTTCAATGAATTCCCTGGGCAAGATGATGGTGACGAAGAAACAACCATGGTAGAAGATTGACGCTCTTGAATATTTTCTCTTCCCCTTTTAAAAGGGCTATACTCAATGTGATGTTAAATGAGCACCTTCCATTTTTTTTCCGCGGAACAAGTGCCCGTTGTATCTCATCTCATGTTTTCTGTCTATCGCGTGACATAATGCGACATCATCACTGCAGCAGCTCAGAGTCGAGATATTACGTTATCCTCTTAAGAGAGTTAGCTGTTTCTAGGCTTTATTAATGCTGTGTTAGATAGGATTATTACGATGGATTTGAAAGTGAGTAGAAAACGTGTAGAAGTTCACAGTGAAGTGCAGCACTAATGCCATGGACGCATTCTCTGCAGTTTGTCATCAAAAATGTACATGCTATTTCCTCTGAGTATGTGAGTTCATGCGGGCCTTGTGTGGTGCCCATGGACGTCGTGAATATTCCGGAGTGCAGTAACTGCAGTTCCTAGTTGAAGTCAAGATACTGACCGTATTACGTAGCAATTCATGCTGTGAGATGTTAATGATCTTGTATCTTGTTTGCCTAGTCACTTGAAAAAGTAAACTCCATCGTATCCTTTTTGTCTAGTTGCTTATTCCTTCAGAATGACGAGGTTTCGTTCTTACCTTGGGTTCTGAGGTTTCAATCCCTGCCCTCCTCAATTCTTTCCAGGAAGCATAGCTGTTGCCGGTGAGTCAACAACCTTCTGTTTACATAATCCTATGTGGGGATTTGAAAGTTTAATAACCAATTTTGTACTTGAGGTCTATGCCAAGGAAAGCTCCACTACCCCTTCTGTAGCCTCTGCTTGTCGGAGAGGTATGCACCGATGTTTATAATAGAGTGCTCGTATTCATTCTACAGTCTCCTCATGTCAGATTAGATTCTGATGGTGAAGAAGCAGTGTCATTTGGTAACTGATTTAGTTGACGAGTAATGGTTGTTATTCTAATGGACTGGGATTGGATTTAATTTACTCTGACGGATCAAAAGTTAACTGAACTAAAATTACCCCCTGATTTCACTTCCCACTACCTCAGTTTAGCGTTTCTGTCCCAAATTCATGCGCAACGTCGTACACCTGTCGGGATGGAAGTTCTTGATGTGCATGATCGATTAGAGCACATTCTAACACGGACAGTGAGGTTGGTTACATCCTCCTGTATGCGAAATCAGCATCTCTTGTACCTTTGCTTGCATTGGTTCGAACATACAATCCAGTAATCTCAATCAGTATCATGTGATGTCCAGGATGTCAAGAACAACCAAGCAATCACAAGCACTTTGAAACGGATCGCAGTTCTTAACTTTCTAAACAAAGCAACCCAATAATCATCTGACTCCTTAAAATGTGGACAGACTATCACGTGGTGATACATTCCCCATTACGGTGAAACAAGGTTCAAACACCAGTATTTCTCCGTCTATATCGTTCATCACATGCATCGCAAGCTGTACTACATCAATCCTTCCTTCTGAGGTGACAACTCCTATCCACTTCCTCAAAACACGTAACCGTAAAGTTGCAGGAACGAGACCATTCGATCCTCGTTTCTTATTCTTCAACCAAGATGTTCAACAACCAATACTTCCTTCTTTATTGCAACAAAATGATCCGGGTCAGCTTCCGTTCGGAAACGCCGACCACAATCCGTCGGACTGATTTGTACCTACGGAGTCCTTTTATTCACATAATCTGCTACTCTCGTGCTGATGGACCGCACGGGTCACAATTGTACGTGAAACAATCGAAACTCTATGACACATCCTCGCGTCCTGCACACTTCCTGCGCCATATCTCCAACCCGAACTCGCTACGGCTACTCATTTACAAAATCGCACTCAAGGTCGTCGCTTCAGGATCTCACTCATTCACGCGTGGACCCATCTGACACCCGGGTCACTCTCCTATGTACATACGCCCGCACGCCACCGTTGCACTGGCATCGGGTGTCGCAACTGCATCGAGCAAATCTAGTTGAAGATGGCGGAGTGGGTGAACATCTCCGTCACCAGCAGCGAGAAGAATCCCACCATCGCCATGCGCCCATTCCATCGCTCCGCTCGCGCCGTGAAAGGCCCGAAGCTGCGAGCATCCGTCGACTCGCCGCTCATGATGGGTACCAGCGATGCGTACGTGAGCAATTGCACTGCCACTAGGAAGTACAGCAACCCGGTCTGTCCGGGAGCTGTGAGCTGGTCCATCACCGTTCTCCCCGTCATCTCTTCCGCGACCACTGCCCACACCATCCCCACCATGGCGAGCCTGCCGTTGATGGTCTCGGGCGCCGCTCCGTCGAACGCGAACACGCTCCAGAACGACTTGCTTCCGGTCTCGGTTCTCCTCTCCACCTCGGGGCGCGGGTACAAGGACCCGGATGTCGGTTCGGTGCCCATCACGGATTTCTTCTCGGACTCGTTGGTCTCTTGGTTCCGGAGGATGTCGTCCTCGGTGAGCACATTCTTCGTGTTGCGGCCCACTGCCTCCCTCACGTCGGCCAAGGGACCCTTGCTGCCTCCAGCTTCGCACCGAACTCTACCTGCCAGAGACGTTGTCAATCTGGCAGGAGCAGCCACCAACTGCGCACCTGCCAGCTTTCCTGGCTTGGGCAGAAGCGACAGCGATGCCTGAAGGCTACCGGCGCTGATGGTACTCATCTGTGATATCGCCGCTGCTGCCATTGTACAGTCGTGGGACGAGTGCACCGAATCTGGAGACAGTCGAATTGGCTTCAAACTACCCTTCGAAGTGGTCCGATAGCAATCGATCAATAATGTGGATGTTCCACGCTCTATGCCTTGATCACTGTTATTGAATCCTGTTTGACTGTGTGTGTATGTGTGCCGAATGTGGGAGAATCAGAGGACGGAGGCTGTTATATAGTGCGTTGCTGCCGAGCCACGGCCAGTGGCAGACGGGGGATGGAGATGCGAGCGTGGCTAGATGGTCGGGCATCCACATGGTAAAGCAGCCCTAGCACGATGCTTTTCGGGACGAGAGGTTGCCGAGGGCGGAGACGTGGCGATCGCTTTTGGGGATTTTATGAGCTAGAAGCAGTGAGGAGATCTTGGTGGGTTAGAGTTTAAAGTGCATGTGTTATGTTGACTTAGAGTTTAAAGTGCATGTGTTATATTGGTAGTTTAAACTCTAAGTCAACATATATGATCAATCTTTGCTCAATTTGAGCCTCCTGTAACATAAATCATGCAAACTATTAACCAAAACAACCAATAATAAATTGTCACAGCATACTACTCTTGACAATGACACTCCATTCTCTATGATATGATAGAAAAACCTGTCACTTTTAATGACCTCTTGTCATAGTGTATAACATATCTTAATTATCCATTCTGAAAAAAGATATTTTTAACAAGTCTTATTTCCTACTAAATTGCAAAGCTCACCACACATGCATTGTCAAAACCATCACCTACTTTATGATAATTTACTAATACAAAACAATTCTAGCCATTTTCTTACATTAACGGCACTGAATATGTTGAAAGACAACGGAAAGGCTGTATGTAAGAATGATTTTGCATTTTTTGATCACAAACTCGCATAAAAAATAAAAAATCACCTATCATACTCATCTACTAGAACGAAGAGTCAAAGGGTTGGGACTTGTAGTTGTATTTGGTAAGCTCGGAATTCCATTCCAGTCACTTACATGGTGGACTTCCTATCAAACCATTTGAATGTTTTGCCAACCATATTTGCCTATGTCCTCCTCCCCAACTATCTCCCCTTCGCCTAAGCTACTCCCCAAGGGCATTTGCCACAACGAGCCTTGACCTTGAGCCCTAAGTTGCAAAATATGTTAGCGGACAAGTGGGTGTGAAAAACGTGTGTGAAAAAAAATTTGCTAAAATCGCCCAACATCCAGTCATGGATGAAAACAAATAACTTTCCATTCTAATAAATTAGCACCTATTCCGCACTGGCCAGCATTACGAGCTGAATGAACCGGTTCAGTGACTTGCAGCGCAGGCGTGGGATGGTGCATCGCATTCGATACTCTGTGTCTATACGTCACTGTTCTCTACCTGCTTTTCCCTTTGTTGGGCATTCTCCAAAAGGCAATGCCATGTCGTAATCGTACTCCACATTCTTCGACGCCTCCGCTCTCACCGTCGATGCGCATTTTGTACCCGCCTCCTCCACCAGCTCCCACTCGACACATGATGCGTGTGCCTCCAGACAAATGGCCCCGCAAAGCTTCACGAACCCACCAAGATCTCCTCACTGCTTCTAGCTCATAAAATCCCCAAAAGCGATCGCCACGTCTCCGCCCTCGGCAACCTCTCGTCCCGAAAAGCATCGTGCTAGGGCTGCTTTACCATGTGGATGCCCGACCATCTAGCCACGCTCGCATCTCCATCCCCCGTCTGCCACTGGCCGTGGCTCGGCAGCAACGCACTATATAACAGCCTCCGTCCTCTGATTCTCCCACATTCGGCACACATACACACACAGTCAAACAGGATTCAATAACAGTGATCAAGGCATAGAGCGTGGAACATCCACATTATTGATCGATTGCTATCGGACCACTTCGAAGGGTAGTTTGAAGCCAATTCGACTGTCTCCAGATTCGGTGCACTCGTCCCACGACTGTACAATGGCAGCAGCGGCGATATCACAGATGAGTACCATCAGCGCCGGTAGCCTTCAGGCATCGCTGTCGCTTCTGCCCAAGCCAGGAAAGCTGGCAGGTGCGCAGTTGGTGGCTGCTCCTGCCAGATTGACAACGTCTCTGGCAGGTAGAGTTCGGTGCGAAGCTGGAGGCAGCAAGGGTCCCTTGGCCGACGTGAGGGAGGCAGTGGGCCGCAACACGAAGAATGTGCTCACCGAGGACGACATCCTCCGGAACCAAGAGACCAACGAGTCCGAGAAGAAATCCGTGATGGGCACCGAACCGACATCCGGGTCCTTGTACCCGCGCCCCGAGGTGGAGAGGAGAACCGAGACCGGAAGCAAGTCGTTCTGGAGCGTGTTCGCGTTCGACGGAGCGGCGCCCGAGACCATCAACGGCAGGCTCGCCATGGTGGGGATGGTGTGGGCAGTGGTCGCGGAAGAGATGACGGGGAGAACGGTGATGGACCAGCTCACAGCTCCCGGACAGACCGGGTTGCTGTACTTCCTAGTGGCAGTGCAATTGCTCACGTACGCATCGCTGGTACCCATCATGAGCGGCGAGTCGACGGATGCTCGCAGCTTCGGGCCTTTCACGGCGCGAGCGGAGCGATGGAATGGGCGCATGGCGATGGTGGGATTCTTCTCGCTGCTGGTGACGGAGATGTTCACCCACTCCGCCATCTTCAACTAGATTTGCTCGATGCAGTTGCGACACCCGATGCCAGTGCAACGGTGGCGTGCGGGCGTATGTACATAGGAGAGTGACCCGGGTGTCAGATGGGTCCACGCGTGAATGAGTGAGATCCTGAAGCGACGACCTTGAGTGCGATTTTGTAAATGAGTAGCCGTAGCGAGTTCGGGTTGGAGATATGGCGCAGGAAGTGTGCAGGACGCGAGGATGTGTCATAGAGTTTCGATTGTTTCACGTACAATTGTGACCCGTGCGGTCCATCAGCACGAGAGTAGCAGATTATGTGAATAAAAGGACTCCGTAGGTGCAAATCAGTCCGACGGATTGTGGTCGGCGTTTCCGAACGGAAGCTGACCCGGATCATTTTGTTGCAATAAAGAAGGAAGTATTGGTTGTTGAATATCTTGGTTGAAGAATAAGAAACGAGGATCGAATGGTCTCGTTCCTGCAACTTTACGGTTACGTGTTTTGAGGAAGTGGATAGGAGTTGTCACCTCAGAAGGAAGGATTGATGTAGTACAGCTTGCGATGCATGTGATGAACGATATAGACGGAGAAATACTGGTGCTGGAACCTTGTTTTCACTAAGGTGGGGAGTAAATCAACATATGTTAGTGTCTTGGCCTAGTTGGTATGGTAGAGAAGAGTGTCGATGTTAGGATGCTGATTGTGTATTGATTATCCTTGTGCTTCGGCTTCGAGAAGTAGAGGATATTCCAGTGTAAAAAGGATGTTGATGCAGCTCTTAAGGCACCTGTTCGAAATTTTGAGAATCAGTGGCCAGAAGTTGTAGTGAACGGCATGTTGAATCGATCATTGTATGTCACTGCGGCGATGGGCAGTGACAAAAGTCCGAATATCACATGTTACAGAGGCCTTTTATTACTACAAAGTTGATCAAATAGTTGATTACAAAGTTCTTCTAATGTTTGGTTTACTCTTTGTTTCTATTTTTATCACTAGATTATTGTAACTCAATATAATTATGGTTCTAGAAATACTTTTACTATAAAAATTCAAAGAGTTAAGAAAATAGATAATAAATCTAAATTACAAATATAGATTTTTAATTACGAAGTTGGATAAGGACATGACCACATATTCAATAAGAAGTAAAGAGAGAACAGTAAAAATTGAAGAAATGCTCAATGAATCCATCACTCGTCACAAGAAGAAGGATGCGTAATTTGCAAACGAGATTAGAAGATTCTCAGCGACATGCAAGATGCAGCCATGACGCACGCCGCTCGATGTTGAAAATGGACCCATGTCAGGGATTCTGCGGCTACGGCGACTGAATTCTGATGAATCTTCTAATTTTGGGTGCTCGGATTCACTGCGCCTCTGGATCTCATGCGTTGGGCAATCTGCTCTAGACTGGTGTCTGACGCGCTAGTTGCGGCCCCGCCTCGTCGACGACATGGCCCAATTTTGGAGCCCCAGCTCATCAGCTCATTTGTCATGGGCCGCCATCTGGGTCCCTGTCACTACTGTGCACATCTGCTGAATGCTATGCTTATTGCAGTTTTCTCCACGGGATCTCCATCAGATCACGCCGCAAGCGCCAAGAGCACTGGAAAAGGTGCAATTCCTGCTTCAACGACAGGGGAAATTTGACATGGGGTGGATTCCTTGCAGGATGAGGGATCAACCGGCAGCTGAGATTCTCGTGAACATGGATAAGATTCACTAGTCTGCTGGATTTTAAACGTGCAAACGTGGAGGTATTTCTAGCTCCTTCGGTTTGTACACTCCTACATTGCTGCCATAGTTTAGAAAGGACTACGTGAAGATTGGGGCTCAGGATCTTGAATCCTCGTTATAGACCGCTGGCGTGTTTGTTCTGTCTGGCTCGTTATTTTGTACTCGACGTGCTCTACATAACCAATTCTGGCTACCAAGAGAAATAAATTTTCAAAAACTTAATGAACTTGGAAGCCTTGCTTGATCAACAAATCATGAACAAGCTAAGATTTCACAGAATGTTTCATTAGAAAAATACCAATATGCTTCCAAGCTTCAATTTTAGTAATGAGTAAAAGCGACTTATGCACCACGTTTGAAACAGAGCCAACGCCACTGAGAGGTCAACGGGAAGAGTTTTGCGAGCTCTAGCTGGGCTTATGTATGGGAGTATCAGTGTCAAGTTGATGCGAGGGTAATTTCAATCTGCTGTGTGTGAGCGGTGACGATTCTCTCCCCTTGCGGAGGTCGCATCGTCGGCGCGGAGGTTTGAGAACTTTTTTCACTACAAGAACGGTTTCAGTTCTAAGTTTTGGGCAGTAAACGGGCTCAGAGAAGCCACTAGGCGTGCTAGCAGTTAGATCTCCACTCCCTCGCAGGAAAGGCAGAGGTAATTGGCACGACAGAAGGGATTCACATAAGAAGGCTGTGCTGGTCGCATTCGTTGAAGCTACCACAAGAGCTCGTCGTCGTCGTCGTCGCGTGAGTCGTACCAGGTCTGGTGCTGAACCTTCAAGCCGCCTTCCGCTGTCCTTCGCCAGAACAAAAGCAAAGCGGTGTAGGTGGCAATTGCAACTGCGCGTTGTTGCACCAGTACGGTAAATCCACAGTTGGTCTGAGCGCAGGAAGCCGAGAAATAACGGTCTAGATCCGGATTTGTTCTAGCGTGCGCCGTTTGTTTCTGAACTCTTGGTCTAGATCGAATTCCTTCATGTAGCGCAATTGGGTGCACAGAGTTTCAGAGTGAAGGAGGTGTGACATTATATTTTGTTGCAAAACCAATAATCTAGTCAAGGGGATCGAAACCTTAACCTTCATTTAAACGGCGGTCTTGTGTGACAGGCATCTATCTCGTGATTTTCATATGTTTGGAAAAGGACAAAGATAGTTGCAATGTCGCCGGCTTTCGTTACTCAACCAACCACCTTTTATCGTGGACAAACGGTGAGAACCAGGACTTGGTCTTTCGTTTTGGTTTTTTGGTTTTTTGCATTTGTTATTTTTTCCATTCTTTCTTGTGTCTTCTTACAACGGCTATGTGATTTCGTCTAAGCCTTCGAAATGACTAACCCAGTCATAGACGACAGATGTTGTAAATTAAGACAGGACTGCAGGAGTTATCAACTTCTGGACCAACGCTTTGTTTAGGTTAAGAGAATTGCGTTTGCTCTGTCATGTGGTTCAGATTGGTCATACGCTTTTGAGGTCAATAGGCCTCTATTATGTTAGTTATGAAGCGCATCTTGGGCTTTCACACCCCGTATCTTCTCGATGCTACTGCGATTGTTGGTTTCGATGCGATCGCCATTGGGAACAATCGCTGGGATACTTTGTGTCGACCGTATAATACTGTCAAGGTTTCGATGAAGGGTTGTTTTGAACTGTGATGCATTAGGCTACAATGACGCAAATGAAGTGCTATCACGGAGTTTGTATTGGAACACGCTTGTCATGTTGATTGACATGTTCTGTAGGGTTTTTACATGTTTGTTTTGAGCGACCATGGATTTGGAAGCCTGGAAAGCACGAAGAAGTAAAATGCTGTCGCTAGCAGTTGATCTTGCACATATATCAGCTAGTCCTTGCTAATCCATGCCCTGTTGTAGTTTTCTTTAGATGATCAATTGCTTGCCGCCATCAATTGCAGCATTTTGATCACGTTCAATGATTTTTGGATCTCGCAGGACTTCATATTTAGAAATTCGGGCAGAAGGTGCAACAACGACGCATTGTTCCATACCGAATCGGGATCATTAAGTTTGCATTATCAATCTCTGAAACGGGATGGCGCATCACAAGCTCTATCATTTGAAAAGCAGAAAAGGATCGGAAGGGAATCACGCTTCAAGCGATTACCCATTGGCACTCACGTTGTGGCACCTGCTACTGTTGGCGATGGAAGTGCAGACAGTAATATCAAATCTCATTTGAAAGCTCCGATGCACGGTAACGAGAAAAAAGCTTCTCGCAGGCTTCAAGTAGTAAGCAATGCCACGCCCGTGGCTGTGGGATCAGCCACTGGTCTGTTGATCCCGTTACCTACAGTGGACAGTGATCATGGGAATCATGAGGGTGTGGATACAAACCTATTCAACCAAATGCTAATTCAGAAAAAAGTGGTTCCTTTGAAGAGAACCGAAGGCAACCGAGTTGTTGAAACAGAGGAGGAGGAGGAGGAGGAGGAGGAGGAGCAAGAGATTGCTATCGTTGAGAAAAACTTACAGAGCTTTGAGAATTCCACTGCTGCAACTGCATTTCTATTGTTCAGTTCGGCAGCCAAGTACGAAAGTATGCTTGTAGACTTCCTCGACCAGCTGGAAGGCATTAGGCTACACGCTTTGGCATTGGAACAGCGGTACGCTACACAGCTAGAGAAGATTCATCGGTTCGTGCCACCAACATTGTCCATCTTTCCCTTGAGAAATCGCCGTTTGATACAATTTGCTGAGGTTGCCTCAATTCTGGTTTGCATACTCAGGGTGTAAATATTTGAAGGTTTGAGGTTCATTTATCGGCTGTGTTTGATAAAGCTTGCGATTGGGATTACAGTTTAATAAATATTTAGATGAACTTGTTTCTTGGATGTGGCAGGCATTATTATGCTAGTGAAAGAAATTTGCTTCATTACATGGGATTCCGATCCCTGGATGTTGCGAACCTACAAGAAGGACTCGCATCTTCTGGACTCTCTGGTTTGGAGGGTTGCGAAGCTCACACATTGGCAAGCCTAAATACACTCGGCACAATTCTCTTTTCACTGCTCACCAACTCGCAGAATAACTGCTCATGTTTAGATGGCGAAACTAGACGCAGATGCATTCCGTCTGTATCAATTCCAGAATGGCAAAGTGTTGTTCAAAATAAAGGGACTTCTGCAACGGACGTGGTGCTGAACGGGACCGAACACATTTCTTACGAAGCTGGAAACTTCATGTTGTCCAAGCATGCGGAAGCTCTTCTAGGGTCATCGCCTCCAGAACGGAATACAGTGATTATGGTCACTCTTCCTTCAGAAGCAGCTGAAGACGATAAACTCATCCGTCACCTGCTGCTGTCAGGTATGAATGTTGCCAGGATCAATTGTGCGCACGACAGTCCAGAGGTTTGGAAGAAAATGGTTCAAAAAGTCCGCTTCTTTGCTGAGCTTCTAGAAATGCCATGCCGTGTCAGTTTCGATCTTACTCGACCAAAGCTCCGAACTGGTCCCATGCAACCTGGCCCATCTGTTCTTAAAATCAAGCCGACTAAAGACAGCCTCGGTCATGTCGTTGCCCCAGCATGTGTCTGGATTGCGGAGGAAGGAGTGAGACCTTCCGGTCAAAGGATTCCGGATGTGTGCGTGCCAATCATTCCAAGCCCTGGGTGGACGAAGAAAATCCAAAGTGGTGATGCAATAAAGTTCAAAGACGCAAGAGGACGGTCTCGGGAGCTTCGTGTAATGGAGAAAGGAAGTGATCCATCGAGGGCCGGTATATTTGCAGAGTGCAGGGCCGTTTCCTACATTGAGCCTGGATGTGCATTAACTGTTTTGGGATACGATGGCCAGAGACTCAACTTGAACGTTGGGCAGCTACCAGAAGTGGAGCAGGCCATACTCCTTCGACCCGGCGACAAGCTTCTGTTGAAAAGAGACCATGTTTTAGGAAGTCCGGCCCAAGTGGACAAAGCAGGGAAAGTGGTGGTGCCGGCGTCTGTGACATGCACGCTCGACAAGGTCTTCGACGTTGCTAAACTCGGACAGCCTGTGAAATTTGACGACGGCAAAATTGGAGGCGTAATCGGCAGCGTGTCACCTTCCGAGATCTGCGTTACGATCACAGAAGCTGGTGGTCATAAGGGGAGGAAATTGAAGGGTGAGAAGGCGATCAATTTTCCAGAGAGCGACTTGTCTTTGAATGGGCTCACCGTAAAAGACGCCGAGGATTTAGATTTTGTTGTTGCAAATGCCGACATGTTGGCATTGTCCTTCGTCAACGGTCCGGCAGATGTACGCGCCCTTCAGGACGAGCTTGCAAGACGAGGTGCAGACGAGATCGGCATTGTGGTCAAAATCGAGACCGAGTTAGGATTTCAGAGCCTACCTTCGATTCTCCTGCAGACGATGGTGACGATGAATCCCGTGGGCGTTATGGTGGCTCGAGGCGACATGGCAGTGGAGTGCGGGTGGCAACGCCTCGCTGAAATACAGGACCAAATTCTGTTGCTTTGCGAAGCTGCTCATGTGCCCACAATCTGGGCCACACAGGTCCTGGAGGAATTAGCGAAATCTGGCTTGCCTTCTCGGGCTGAAATCACGGACGCTGCATCAGGTTCCAGGTGATTCTTCATCACTAACCATCTCGTGTGACCATCCGACGCATGGGGTGATGCCAAACTAGCTGTCACGATCAGACACTAGAAGCTCATCTACATTGATACACGAACAAACACTTCTCTTAACTTTTCACATGGTCTACAAGAGCCGCAGAACAGTGATTGTCACGACATCAAATTTTTCTCTAGACAGATGGAATTGCATCCCAGTGGGAGACTAACTTGTTGTTGAAGCATACTATTGCAGGGCGGAGTGCGTGATGCTAAATAAGGGCCCTTACATTCTGCAAGCTGTGGCCAGTTTAGATGACATCCTCCGCAGGGAAGCGAGTCGGAGGAGGAAAAACCGATGGAGAATGCATCCGTTGCAGAATCTTGGCAACCTCGACATGTAAGGCTCCGTTCATGCGGTCCAAGCGCAGCAATGGATGAGATGTGGGCTTTGATCCGGCGTGGCGATGCTTCGGGAGATGCTGGCGTGGATCCCGATGCGCCGTGCCTTGTGTAGTTCATGCTTTTGTACATACCACACGCTGAATGCAAGCTCGTGAGAGGACCCCATGCGACTGACTCTCTCCATTCGCTGTAGTTAAGTGGATTCTCGCGCAGTTGTGAAGAGTGATTCCCGCGTGCTCTGGTTGCTTTTCAGCAGAGCTTCCAGAGTTGGAAACAATACAGACCTTACTCCGTGCTGGTGGGGAGGTTCACCCTTAGCACCATTCATTCATTCATTTTTCTGGCTACCTGCCAATCTTAACTTAATTCGCAAGATTGAGTACAGTTTCTTTTGTTTGTGTATCTTTGGCTCAATTGAAGGTTCAAGGTCATCCTCTCTCTCTCTCTATATTTTTCAAAATGCAAGTTAGTCTTATGTATTTGCAAGTCAAATATGAATATGAATATTCTTACATGTTTTCAAATATATTTCATTTTGTAAAAATAAAAGTTTTGCTTCGCAAAATGATGTAATTCTTGATCAACGCAAATTCTATGCAAATCAATTATTATTACAGTACAAGAAATGCTGTGGTGCAGAACAAAGGATTGGTTCCTGGACAAAGTTCTGAGTAAATATACTAAATTTGTAAAGCCTTACAAATCTCATTCAAATGTTGTTATGTTAAGCTGCAACCAGAGAAGCAGTTCTGGCTGCAATTGGAGTACTCTCTAAACTTCTCCTCAGTACCATATTTCTTTGTGATAAACCTGAAAATAACGAATTACTTGGATGTTAGAATATGGTTAAAAGCAACATGCTTAGAATATTACCGGGACAACAGTATTTTGAGAAAAATACAGAAATTCCGTCATTTAGAAGGTGTATCCGGACCCTAGTTTGATCTTAAAATGACAATACTTCAGCATAAGAGTTTGTTTGATTGTATAACTTCCCAAGTAAAACTCATATTCCACTATAAGCAGCACTAACTGAATCATAAATTAAATAAAGAAGTAAATAAAAAGAAATGAAAGAATCACTAAGTTTTAAAATCTAATTGAGAGACTGGAACAGACAATAACAGAGTATCAAGAACATAGGAAACTAACCTAAAGAAATCTCGCCATAACAACTCAAATAGAACCCAGTTGAGTCTATGGTCTTCATTTCCAGTTCCTAAAGTGTTCACAGGCAAGGTGGGCATTACTCCAGCACTGTGGACCCATCAAAAACCTGAATTAGATTTGGCAGCTCCAATATAACTCAGCAATCCAAGAAACCCTAGGTCATTGATTGGTTCAAAGAACACAACTCAAACGTCAATGAGCACAAGTGGATACGTCATACAGAATATCAAATGGATGATTTAGAATGTTAACGATAACCCAGAGAAGAGGCACTTAGAATCAAAAAGCAACACTTTCTACAGCATGTCAAACGTTAGATGACGTACAATCTGGTATTATGTCATCAAAAGTAAGAAAAACCTAACTTATAGCTAGAGAATTATATCAATTGGGGGCAACACTCAGATCGAAGCAAACCTTGATCGACTCTTTTTCAGATCCTCGAACATTCGTCGTGGTGAGAGACAACCCAAGGCCAACCAGGGAGAGATTTTGCAAGAGAAATTTGCACCATACAAGCTGTCAGCACTAGTCTCCGATTGCTTGTTCTTCGCTATGGATGAGCTTGTTTCCAAAACATATCTGTCCAGCTTCTTCAGGGCTTCGTCTTCACCTCCCATCAATACAGCTCCACCTGATGTTTGGATCTCCTGCTAGATAAGCAAGAGACGCACAATTGGTACTAAGCACAGGGGCAAAACATAGCAGAAATATGGCTCTATAATGCGCCTAATATCGTGTATTGCATCATCAATCCAGTAAAATTCAGGATACGAGTTGCCACCACAGATGTGGTAGAGTTGTTAATCCGGTTTAACGTTTGATATGATCCTAAACCTGGTCCCGCCCTAGCTTTCCTTCTTGTCGAAAGAAAAAAGCTACGGTATCCACACAACAACAGGATTGGAACGAAGAGCATTGAGAATCATTGTTGCCTTCACCCATCCACCCATATTAATTGCTCAAATAATGAAAAAGAACCTGTCGCATATCAGCCGCAGGATTCAAGCCAAGTTCCTGTAGGAATGGAATGCGTCCAGGTTCGATATTTCCACAAGCTGGTAGACCCTTGAGCTCTTGAAGTGCTTCAATTGTACTCCTGACAGCTAAGTTCTGAACCATTTCTCTGAATCCGCCGTAATTGGAGGGCATATCATCTAGTTCAAAAGGTAAGTCCTCAAGATGAACAAGAGTACCGCCCCAAAAGAATTTCGTTTCAACTCCGTTGTCTTGAAAAGCCGCAGCCACCTTCTCCTGAGCCTGAACATACAGGACAAGTGAAACATCAGAATGAATTTTAATCATGCTCCGAACATAATAGAGAAAAAAGCTATTATGTTCCGCATCTCTTCGCACTGAATATCTTCTGGCCATGGCCTGAATCCAGCTGCCAGGTTGTCCAATGCCACCCCTTGCGCAAGATATTGCTGGCCATAATTTTTAAATACTAGTTCTTTTGAGTAACATTCACAACAAGCATCCATGTTGTAACTACACACTCGAAGTGATTCCACGCTGACTCACTCTGAAAACCTCGAGTACAATGCATATTTCGATACAACGCTCCCATACGAGTCTAATTCTTGTAAGCCAAAGATGCATCTCGAAATATTCTCTATTTTGTGACTTAAAATTGTAAAGAAAGCATTGAACAACTACTACTACTTCAAAAGATTGAAACTTAACAGAGATGTAGCATACACCTGGAACCTTCGAAGTAGTGAGGCACTCGTACATTTTGTCCCACATGCACCTAGTGATAGAGTATGATAAATTCTCAAACCTGGAAAGGTCCTCTGTTCAAGGCATTCCATGATCTTTTGACGGCGACACCTTTATGTGACAACCAAGGAGTGTAAGAGTTGCTAGAAATTGCAACAAAATCTCCTTCCTGCAATGAAAGCAATCAACGTTTCACACCAGTTCCATCAGTTGTAGCTGAGAAAATCAGTTAAAAACTATCTTCTCGAAACAACACTCGTTCACTTGCTCATAAACCTTTCACAATTTAACTTTCAAACGCTTCCATGTTTCCTGAGAATGAGCCCACTGTACCTGGAGCTCTCCATACGCGACTTCCTGATGGGCATAGAGAGATTCTGCTCCCACGCTTTTTGCCAAGTCGAGAAGCACTTCCTCTGGTTTCCCAATCCTAACAATTAAGTCTGAGCCTCTTTCTCTCAAACTTGACCGCAGATTCGCGACACATTCGAAGAGGAATTTCACTCGATAGGGACCGTTCTTATCAATACCCAATGATGAATTCCCATAGTCCCTTGGATCGAAGCAGTATACTGGTAAGATGGAGAGGGAATCTCTACTAGCTGAAACCAAAGCTTCGTTATCATGCAGACGCAAATCATTCCTGAACCATACAATCGAAGCTCTACGTAAACCAGCGGCACTCGATGGATTTTTGAATTCAGGACCACGAAGGCTTTGATACTCTGGAAAAGCTGAAACATAATTTTCTGACTTCTTTGAAACAGTGGCTGGAGTTTCTACGGGAATGTCAAGAACTTCCTGTAACAAGCAACCCACTGGCCTCAGTACAATCGTTGTTGATTGCAAGCAAACAGGTCAATAACCAACTACCTGGCTATTGTCTTTCGTCCTGCTTCAAGTTTCCAATTCACTAACCTGCACTTCGAAAGAAGCCGTCATAGGCACGGGGCTATGACCTTTCTTCTGAGAGAAAGCTGTCTAAGAGACAGCTAGACTAGCTCCACTTCGATGTAAGGCCTGTGACATCCTTGTGTTCTTGGTCAGAACTAGGCTGGAAGTAAGTACGGATTTAAGAGCAAGCGAGATGGAAGCAGCTGAAGGGAGAGGATTTCCAAAAGACGCTGCATAAAAAGATAGCCATACCACAATCCTAGGAAAGGTTAGAAGGGCTATAGTCATCAGCTTCTAAAATGCCAGCGATTGCTTTCGGAAAAAAGCATAGAGTGGAACATGAACACGAGGCCCATGGATAAATGCAATGTGAGATAGTAGCATCTCTTTCATAACAATTAGATTGAATCCTTTTCACTGAAAAAGTATGCGAGAACAATAACCTCCACGATGCAAGACTGCTGTGTAGACCGAAGAATGAAAAGTGAGATTTCTTTCTATCCCCTAACCATAGATATTGATATAACAACTTGATGCAAATTACTTCAGCCCAAATACAAAATGAGTATGTAATCGTCAACACCTCATCCGATTTGAAGTTTCCGCTCGTAAAAGGTAGTATACTTATCCTCTAAATACCGGAACGTAGTCCTCAAGAATAGCGACCCCTACACAACAACCAGATTGGTCTCTCACCTAAAACTTGAGAAAAGAATAACCTTAAGAAATAGGAGCTGATCTTCTTGGACTCAGAGCTGGAAAGTCGATCAGTGTATCGAAGACAAGGATTCTTCACGTCTGTTATTAGATAAAAGCTACTTGATGCACAACAAAATTATTTATTTCCCAGGTCTAGAATGAATCAAGGACGTATTTGGATCACAGAATTCTCCACTTTCGTGTCTGCAATCGATGAAAATGAAAATCCACTGCAACAAGAGACCACTTCCGCTACCGAAGGCAAATAACGCCAGAATTCAGATGATATCGTAAATATGGAGCCAGGACGATCTAGCAATACCACACCCGAAGCAATTCAATGCGCACAAACAGCAATCATGACTTCCTCAAACGCTCAAAATTACCAAACCTTCACAGCATCACATCTCAGCAACCGAAATATCGGTACTTTCAATGCTCCACATCTTTCCAAGAAGAAACCAATTACGCTACATGACTATTTCCGCCAACCATTTCCTCAAAAAGAAGAGAGAGGAGGAGCGGGAATAATTGACTTAAGATGCCAATCCACGTTGTTCGCACACCTGCAGCGTCGTCGTTGCCGAAGGCCTCTTCACCGTCAATAACCGCATCGCTAACCTCCTTACCGGCAGCAAGGATCACCTGAGATAGTACAGGCGCACGCGCTCGGGATGACGCCATCGCTCGTTGGAGATTGCAATCCATAAGGACCTCCAAGTCGTCAAGCCCAGCATGCCCCGCCATGACTACCAGACTCGGAACAGAACAAAGCAACGCGGAGGAAGAGGAGGAGTGGTCTTAGGAATGCAGGAAAAAACCAACAAGCAGAAGAAGCAATACAAATAGCAGCAAGAAGGATGTGCCACAAAACCTCCTCAAAGACTCTCACCATGAAGGAACACAGACCAGTGTGACACTTCGGGCATGCTGCAATACGAAAGAGAATTATTAATTATTTTGAACTTGATCACTACTGCAATATTATTATACATGACATTCCAATTGTTCAGTGAAAGGCCAATCTTATCCAGGTAAAGAAGATGAATCATTGTTCACATGTGTTGAGCATTGAAGATTAAATATTACCATTTTCAGTTTTAAAAAATATATACTTGTTGTAAAAGAATATGAGATCCTCCAAAAAAAAAAAAAGGCTTGATGTAAAAAGTATAAAAAATGTTGGTCTTTTAGACACACGATGCTTCCTGTTTCATAAAATATATATTTGAAAGTAAAAAAGAAAAGAAAAAGAAAAAGCAAGAACAAAAAACACTTCAAGAAATGTTCTTTAAAAGTTAAGTAATGAAATTGGAATAAAAGTTTACTGTATTCAAGAAAGTAAACATGAGTAGGGCATCTTGGTCACTTTTCAAAGCACATTTAAAGGAGACTGACCTAATTAAAAATGACAAGGACGAGTTCATCACATAACTACAAGTTACCTTTTTCCGAGAAGAACGTGTGCAGTGGTCAGATGTTTGGACAACTTGGATGGCTCTTGTGCTTTGTTTGAACATACAGGCCCATGGCTGGGGATGCACTATAATAAACAATAATAACAATATATTGGTGGGGGCGGGTGTTGCTATAACACCTGGCTGAGTTTTGCCGCAGTGTTTACCAGGCACGGCAAATTCCAGGCGAAGAGATCAGGGACGAACACATCCCCGTTCACATCGACCCGGAGGGGTCCAGCTAAGCATGAAGGGGACGAGGGATGAGGATGCTGTTGCTGATGTGGCGAGGAGGCATAGGCTCGCGGAATCTCGTGACTGAGATGAAGCATAAGCTGGAAGCAGTGGTGAACACAGCGAAACAGCGCCGGTGAGAGGAGAGGAGGGGAGAGGGGAATAGAAGCGAAGATCGCGATGGATCGTGCACCACTGCTTCGCCCGCCTGATCTCTCACCACAATTTCCTGCTTCCACCATCGCTGCGGCAGCCCTGCACCGTAAGCTCACACCCGCCTCCTCGCCTGTTGTAATACTTGATCTCCTTCACTTGGAACTCCTCTTCGTGTATGTTCGTTGACGGAGCTAGGCGCTCGGGGGCTTTCTCCCTCTCCCTCTCCCTCACGGTGTGTGTTTGTTTGCGTGTGTGTATGCGCATGTTGAGCTCGTTCGTCTTGCAATGCGGGTGTATCTTGCTGAATGGCATTATAATGTATGGCGGGTGCTTGATTGAGTGACGCAGAGTTCTTTAGTGCTGTCAATTGCATTGTTCTCTATCTCGATTGTACCAGTATTGCATTGCGAAATTTTCGATCATCTTCATGACTTCTTGCTCTTGTAGTTTCGGATTCTCCGATGTTTACTGATGTTCAGGGTATGTTTTCAGGATTCCTGCATTTGAAGGATCTCCGAGATTACTATTATCTATCTCCCTTGTGAGACAGGAATACATAGAAATGGCGCAAGCAATGAGGACCATGCAGGTCACTGCCTTGAACGGTGCATTGGCCGGTTCCTCTCAGAGTGTTGACAAATCTGCCTCACTCAGAATCTCGAAGAGGGTTCCTAATTCCAGGCGACCAGCTCTGTCTTTGAGAGCTTCCGCGAAGGATGAGGGTGACATGCTTTCTGCCGTCGCGCCCTCCACCATCGCATCCATTGTCGTGCTGGCTGACGTTGGTGCAGCGAGCGCCCTCACAGCTGAGGATGTTACTCAAGCATACGTAAAGGTAAGACGCTCTTCGTTGATTATGCAGTCATGTTTTCCATAAGATTTTATTAAAGTTCGGTTCTGTGCACTGGAGTTCAGTAACTTTGACGATGAAAATTCAGCTTCAGGATCCTGTAGACTCATTTATAGTGTCCGGATCGAGAAAATCGTTGCATATGTTTTGCTTTTCTAGTTCATCCTCTCGTGGAGAATGTACCTGATGGCAATTGAATTCTTCTCAGGCACAAGAAGCCGCCTCTCAAGCATCTCGAACAGCTGGGGATACCTTTGACGTAATGAAGAACGTTTATGAACAAATTGTTTACGCCTTGAAGCCTGCAGTTAGTGCCGTGACTCCATACGCTAAACAGTCCGCAGACTATGTTTACAAGACTGTGTCTCCCATTGCATCCGATCTCGAGAAGCAAGCTGAGAAGGCCCTCCAGAGCACTGGTGTCGACACCAAGCCTGTGGTAGATGCCGCGAAGGTAAAGCAGATAAATTCATCCACTTTCTCTCTTTAATGATACTTAAACCGCGTTTAACGCCAATGCCATGGTAGTCGAGCAATGCCACTTCATATTCAAATTGTTTTCTGTGCAAACGAAATGCTCATTTGCCAGGGGGAAAGAAAAAAAAGAAAAAGAACAAAACTCTGCATGACATAGTCCGGCATGAACCAATCTCTTTGTAAAGTGACTTGGAACAGTCTAATCGAGTTGTTGTCTACAGACAGCTGCCTCCGCAGCAGGCGAAGTGGAGAAGTACATTGAAGGGGCTCAACCATCGATATCGAGTACTCTTCAGAACGTTTTGTCCTCGGATCCCATCGTCCTAGCCGCCGGAGCCGGAGCCTTGCTTCTGGTGTATCTCTTGACACCACCTTTATTGTCGAGCCTGTCCTACGCTGCCCGGGGTTTCAAGGGTAAGTACTTCAGAGCTCAGTTGTGGTTGGCCACTATAATGGAGGTTTGACCATTCTTGAGATGAGTTCTCAAGATCCTACGTGCACCTACGTTGTCGAGGTTAAGAGTAGTGTCCTCGTTGGACCAAATCTAACATCTGAGCTCAATTTGAAGGTGAATTCACCGCATTCCAAGCTCTTGACCTTCTGTCTAAGGAAGATTACTACCTCATTGACGTGCGAAGTGAGAAGGAGAAAGCCAAGTCTGGTGTCCCGAGCTTGCCAAGAAATGCCAAGAACAAGTTCCTCCCTGTCCCGTGAGTCCAATTGCACACCATTTTAGATGATGGAGGGGTCTCAATGCAGTTATTGAAATTCTTAAAATAGCACCAATAGAGTATTTGGTTGGAGGTTTCCGGCTGTGAGTGGATTTCACCACTAAGTGCCTGTGAATGTTGGTAGCTGAAGTGTTTCGCGATAAGTGTTTTCTAACCGGTGAGACTTGGCTGGAAACAGAGTTGAGGAGTTGCCAGGAAAAGTGAGGGGTCAACTACGCAACGCTCGTAACGTTGAAGCTGAGATTGCAGCCCTTAAAATTTCCTCTCTGAAGAGACTTAACAAAGGCTCCAGGCTCATCATAATTGACTCGTAAGGCCTCCTAACGCGGTGGTCTTTACACTATCGTGGATAATTTAGAACTAATATTTATTGTTTTTTGGTTGAACATGGTCTCTGACAGTGTTACTCTCGACCAGCACTACAAAATCAATATATTAGAGCCCTAACTGTCCATTTGCCTATTCAGGAATGGAGACATCTCCAAGACCATTGCGAGATGCCTGTCAGGGCTAGGGTTCAGCAACACATGGGTCATCACTGATGGATTCGATGGAGGAAGGGGTTGGGTACAGAGCAGGCTTGGCACAGAGTCATCGGGTTCCTCATTCTCTGAAATTCTCTCCCCATCTCGCATCATCCCTGCAGGCACCACATTTTTGCAAGCTGGAAGAGATTGATCTATACCGTTGATCATATTATATGCTCAGAGAATTAGTAATATTTTTAGGCCCAAATTTGTAGGCTTTCTCACATTCATTTTCAGTTGACAGCGGTAAACTTCGTCTGGCATGATTTTATTTCTGCAAATTTTTCTTATGGCACACGACATGTCGTGCCAGATTCTACGTATTTTAGGGTACCTATGTAGATCTACATAGGGGTGCGAGGACGCTGTGGGGAGCACAGTTTCAGCATGGCTTGAGCAGAAACGTCAGATTTCTGAGTGGTGACCACCGTTTTAACCTGTTGCAGAGAATGTATCAATGAAGGCATGGGACTGTTCTCTCTTGCACTTAAACGCCTTGTATGCTTAATGACAGTGTTTGTGTGACTCAAGAATCATTCTATTTCCAGCAGTCGTAAACTCAGATGAGGCAGTGATATTTCGCAAGTACATCCTGAGTAGCTAAGTTTTTTCTTCTAGAGTCGTTATTTCTGTGTACACGATACATCTTGGTATTGTGAATCTGATTTCACTCATTCGAGGAAACAATAAATGCAGTTTATCTGCAACTTGTTTTTCAAATGATACACTTCAGCACATTTGAATTGTCAATTTTCATTACCTTGGAAATATTGTGCCGCGTTGGGCATATTTAGCAGAATTCTACCATAGCCTTTGGAAACTGATATCACTTAAATCTTCCAGTTTTGGCAAACTGGAGAGATTTGACATACAGCAATTTTGAGATGCTGGAAAGAAAAATGTTATTTAGCAAAAAGTAAAGGAAGAGTGCTCTATTCTCTTAATATGTCATATCAAAAAATATTTAAGTTATAAATTAGTAAATTAATAAACACTCATCTAGTAATGTGAAATATTAAAGTGCTAACCTTTGCAATTAAACTAATTCCAATAAATACATATATTAACATAACAATAACATAAGTTTCAATATCTAATCCTACTTAAATGTCATATTTATGACATATGATTATGATGCTTTAGAATTTAATGCTTAACATTGTTTTAAATATATTTTCATTTGAATACACTTTTATATAAGAATTTATTATTATTATTTTAATATATTAATTTTTTTCTTTATATGTAATAAATTTGTTTCAACTATTGTATTCTTTTGATTTAATAATTATGCAAGAAAATATCACATATTCTATAATCTCATTATCAACTGAGCATATATATTTGTGAAAAGAAGATAGATTTGAAGATAAGTTTTAAAAAGACATGTATCTAATTAAAATATGGTGGATTGTTTTAAAACCGATGTTACAAACTTCACAATACTAAACTACATGTAAGATAGACGTGAGCCTCTTGTAGGGATCACTAATGGTGCTCTTCAACCCACAACTTTTCCACTTAGGATTTTAAATAATCATGTCTTTTAACAATCCTTAACTCCTAGATTAACAGTAATCAAGCTCTTTGCAAGCTCTTTGGCTCTCCATTGGCCTCTCTTACATACAAAAGTAGGAATAACAATATCTTTCTAAGAGAAGATTAGGATTTCTTAGTAAACATCACAAACACAAGATTTGTAGGACAATATGGTAGAAATTGTTATCATTGCAAGCCACAAAAAGTGTTTCTGCCATGTAACTGCAAAAGTGAGAACATTGTAGCAAACTAATGACAATTTATCTAATAGTCATTTGTAGTGGCCTTTCAATAACTAATTAAAACAACCTATCCATGTTGGATGCCATCATCTACTCATTTATAAAAAAACACTAAGAGGAGTACTTCTTAATGGCCATTCTTGCAATTTTTGTAGGTTATTTATTTATAATTCTAACAATTTTTTTGAAGTAGACTTTGACATTGTGAGAAATTAAGTATTTGGAGTAGTTTATAATAATAGTAAGATTTGTGAAAGATAAGTTTGTATCTCTTCTTTTGAGCAATGGTTCTTTCTAAGAAAGTAAAATATTTGTTAAAAATATTTTATTTTCTAGCCAAAAGATGCTTCTTTATTAAAACTAGTATTTTTAAACCAACCAAAAAAATACAACTACTAATTCCAATAAATACATCCTTAGGTATTTGCACTATATAAAAATGGTTTGCAAAATTTAACCACTTTGATATTAAAGCTTTGCATAATATTAGTATATTTTTTAATCTAAATTGCCTTTTAAAAGCTTACGGATGAATTCAAGGATAATGGCTCTTTTTTAGTTTGATAATTAGAGACCTTGCTAAAAAAAGCCATAATAATGCAACAAAATCAAATCTTAGATTTTCATTATTTTAGAGTCTAGACATGGTTAAGATGTGTCTTTTAGAGTATTGAAGCATATTACAAAAAATAAAATAAAATCATACTAATTGATTGAAACTTCTTGCCAACCACATGTAATTTTTGCCTTTGTGCAAGCCATGGGATTAAGTAATTCTAAAGACTAAAAAATCTAAAAAATTAAAGGCCACCTAATACTAAAGATCTTACTTTTAAAAACAACCAAGAATCTATAGAAATTACTTACAATGGACTTACAATAGTCTTCTGTAGATTTAGAAAGCTAAGATTAATATTCCATTGTAAGTACAAATAGGTAACAAGCTAGTGTCTTTTTCAACTATAAGAAGTCTCTTCAGTACTTGATTCTTAGCCTCTCTCTAGTGTACTTGATTAAACAAAATCAAGTTTAGAATTAGTTCTAATAACTACAACTACTATCTCCTAAGTATCACCCAACTTCCTTTATTTTTCTTACTTTATTATAAGATTAAACATAATATCTTCTAATATAAGAGGATTTAAAAACCATTCAAAATTCAACAAAATTTGATATAATATTTATAATTTTCAACCACAATGGAATATTGTATTATTATAAGAATATAAAATAATTAGAGAAAATACAAAAGTATTAAAATAGTAATTTTATAGAAATAAAAATTCACACATTTTAGAAGCAACTTCTATATAAAACCACATAAAAGATGGATTAAGCAAATGAAGGGTATGTATCTTAATTAAATTTTATGTTAAGTATTTTATTTCTTTAAGTGATTCTCTCTTAGATAATGGAATATTATGGATGTCTTTGGAAAACACATATATTTTTTTATTTGAGATATCAAATATTTATACTCCAAATGAGCTTCATACTTGAAGCTAATTATGAAAGGATTTGCAATCCTCTCTTCTAAACAATTTAGAAAAGATATTAGAGGGAGATTAGAACATAAAAGATAGACCAAAAGATATGTCTTTTTTTATATTTTATAACAAGCTTATTTTGCTGAATTATTTTAATAATTTTAAGGTTTTAAAGAGAATTAGGGCCTTCGAGATATATATATATATATATATATATATATATATATATTTTTTTTTTCTTTTTCTTTTCTTAGCTAAATATATAAGATTTTATTGAAATGATAAAAATAATAGAGTTAAAATAGTAGCCAAACTAAATAGGTATATAACATCTCATAAGCCTTTCATCTATCTACTACTAAAGATTGTAGAATAAAAAATGATACATCTTTATTTGACCATCTTCTAATATTCTTTAATATATAATTATCTAAAGGTAGCTAAACTATCTCTACATTATAAATTAAATCCACAATACTTAAGTAAAATGAAGGTTCAACAAGCTATCTAAGAAATTAGAAAAAAATACTTAAATATTTTCTTTACTATCAAATTTAGAAAAGCTTTTAGATACTATAGAAATCATTGAAAGATTAAAATTAGATATAAAAGAGAAGATGACTTAGCTTAGAAATTTATTATGGAGCACACTCATGCAAGTCTTTACACTAATCCAATCAATCTTAAAATACAAAAACTCAAATACCAATATAATATCTTAGCTAATATGGAACAAAGAAAAGAAAATGGGCATAGAGCAAGGACAATAATCAAATAGATTGCATCAAGTAACTCATATTCTAAGTTTTTAATTTTTAAGAGAAAGAAGATCTAAAATTAGAATTTTTAGTCTAAAGATCTATAAAGCAATGATATTTAAAATTTATTTAACATGTCTAAAATTGGTTATAATTTTTTTGCTCATTAATATTAAAAAACGAAATATTCTTATTTTTTTAGAATACACTCATAAATTTTGGAATACAATCAAAAAAGATAATTTACAACTTATTATTAATTTATGGATAGAAAAGCCTTCTTTTCAGCCATTTTCAAAGGCTTTATTACTCTTATATTTAAGAAATGAGATAAAAAAAATTATTAAGTGATTATTGAGCCGTTATTCTACTTAATTCTACTTACAAGATTTGTTTCAAAGTTTTCTAATTGGGTATACAACTCATGTTCAGTAAAATTATTAATAAATTTTAATAAATATTTCTACCTTTAAATCACATCTTAGATAATATATTCCTCGTGAATAAAAAATTATATTAAACTTATTTTTTCTAAATATTTTTTTTTCTTATTTTTTTTTAATGCATTTGACTTGATAAATTAGAATTTCTTATTACAAGTTCTTGAAGTCTTTGGCTTTGGTTCTTAATTCATCAATATGATTAGACTATTATTCACAAGTACAAAAGCTCAAGTTATAATTAACAAGATCTTTTTTGAGAAATTTCCAATGAATAGAAGTATACAATATCATATTGTAATACAACTATTGGATGAAAGAGTAGATAAAAACCAAAATATGCAAACAAAAATTTAACTAAAAGATTAAAATATTTTTTTCTAAAATATTATAGATAAAGTATTGAATATAATAAAAGATTTCATATTTCATACTACTCTATTTTTAAAATATATATTTTTTCTATTATCTAGAATCATAAATAGAATAAGATAATTAAAATATATTAAAAAGTCTATTAAATTACCATTAGATTATAATTAAGAATTGAGTTTTTTGAACATTTTTACAAAACGAATTAGTTTGGTATCTAAGAAGAATCATTTGTGAGACAAGATTGAAATTGGACTATGTGGTGTAAAAATAGGCATCTAAAAAAATAAAAATTGTTTTTTTTAGAGACTAAAATTTAGAATTTAAGAAAAGACTTCAAGTAGATTCTATAGGTTTAAGACTTCTTTAGATCAAGTGTAGAATAACTTTGTGAGAACTAATCAAATTTAGATTTTTTTAATTTTTTATGTAACATATTTTTAAGTAATAATATCATGGTCTAAATTTTTAATTATTTCTTGGAATTTCATTAGAATTAAAAAAAAAAAAAAAAATTCTAGAAATTCGACACCAAAATTGGAAAAGGAGGCAATGCAACATCTTTTTGGTTATTTGAATGTTTCTTTTACTCTGTAAGTTGGATCTTTTTTAAATATTACAAGCTTATTTGGAATTAGCATGTCCAAAAATTGTGAAAAATTTAGAGTTGATTCAAAAATAAAGTAAAAAAATTGTACCTTATTGAAATTTCTTGTTTGAAATTTAGAATTTGATTGGGATTTTTTTATGATTTTTTTATAAATTTGTTTAGCATTTGTTTTTGCTCTTATTAGATTCTTTCTGATCTTATAAAACTTCTTTAAGGTTTGATAGATTTTATAAGGGTACTTTAATATTTAATAAGATTTATTTAGGATTTTATAGATTTTTTTTATTTTTATTTATTTTATTTATTTTATAGATTTGATATTATTTAATAAAACTGTTTTAGAATATTTTTAATATTTTTTTAGAATTTATCAAAGTTTCTATATAATTTTTTTTAGATTTTTTAAAGTTACTAGATGTTAAAATTTTGGATTGATAGGGTTTAAGATTTAAAATTGATAGGATTTAGAATTGCTTAGTTTCTACTTCAAGGTCCCGTTCTTCCCAAAAACAATGTCCTAAATCTATGTTTAAAGAATCCTAAATGTTAGAAAGTAAGCCATGTTTGTTTACATGTATATTAATCTATATATTACAATTAAAGAATATAAACTAATAACACTTAGTAGAAGTAGTGGTATACTTATCTCAATACAAAGAAATCAAATTTATTTTAAAATAAAATATGTACAGCCTTCATCTACACCCTCTATCACCATCAAAAAGTTCTCTCTAAATCTGCAACATGATGCAATCAATCAGAAAACAATGCCTACTTCTTGACAACCTCTGGGTCAAACCTAAAAGTTGACATTGGATAGATTATAGCCATGCCACAAGGAACTATAAGACAGAAAGAAACAACAAGCTTTACAGTGCATTACAAAAAAAATTGTGATACTTATACTTTTGTATCAATTCATATCTATTAATAATCATAATCTCAATGATTTTTTTTATAGAATCACTAATACAATCTAAGAAAATGCATTGCATAAAAGGTAAAAAACTACCATGAGATAGAATACAAGTTCCACAAATTCAAATATCTAAATGATAAGAAGTGCTTCTTTCAAACTTTGACCTGAATTAGAAAACTTAATGAAATAAAACTAGAAAAAAAAAAAAAACAAAACAAAACAAAACAATGAGCACCTATCTTATTTGACATAAATGAATTATATTAGATGTTTAGAACATAAAAAAATCAACAACACTATCAATAATTCTCGTCTATTATGCCTCCTTGATTTTAAGATTATAAGGCATTATAATAAAGTGAAAAAAAAAATTAAATCTAAAAAATACATCAAAAAAATTATATCAATTAGATTAAAGAGAAGAAACTAATAATCATTATGTAGATGTTGTTTCATGTATATGAATTACCTAAATTAGAATAGTTTGCTAATAGGTAAAATTACAGAATTGTTAACGCTCCATTTCTAGTTGATATCAATAGACCCCACGTGACCTCCTTGTATACAACAAGCTAATAATATGCATCTTTATTTATTTTTTGAATATGAAATATCTGCCCTAAAAAAATTTATTCAAATTTTTATTTTTATTTTTATTATTTGGATGCAAAAATAAATATATATATTTTTAAAAATTATTATATTTTTTCATTAGCATTGGGTTGCCAAATACACCTTAAACATAGAAGCATGTATTTTAGTTAATTTAATATGTGTAGAGGTCATGTAGGGTGTAGCAATACCAATTGGGGATGTAGCATTAACAATTCTCTTAAATTATTATAACCAAAATTAATCATCTAATGGCAATTGATGGAGGTTGGCCTTATCATCCCTATCTAAGTAGAGATGTATTTACAATTGCTCTTCCCTTCTTTTTTTTTTTTTGTGTATTTTGATTGATGTGAAAAAAGATGCTGTATTTTAAGTGTCTACATAAATCAAGAATAAATTAAGAGTAAAATACATAAATGTTTTTGTATTGCATGCATTACATGTATTGCAAGGAGGGAGAGGAGGAAGTGGGGGTTGGGCAGCAACGTGGCCTCAACTGGTGTACGGATGGATGAAATTATTAGATGGAAACGTAAATCCAGGGGGGGGCATGTCAACTCCCGACCCATCCCTGGAAGCCCGGCCCGTCCTCGTCGTCATTGCTTTCCGTCCCATGTCGGGGTGGCCTCCACGACCGTCGCACATTTGTCGATACATGGATGCTCCATTCTTCGACACTGGCTTCTTCGCCTCCCTCCCCTTTGCTTGCTTGCTCGCTCCCATGCCATTGCTCTCTCACCCATTCGTCGCATGCATTCGGACCATGTGAATTCCCCCACCCCTGTACTTATCCCTGCTCGCACTCATCAGTTGATTCCAGAGGGACCGAAATCGCAAGACACTGGCAGCTGGAAAGAGTCGATAGTTTTTCTTTCTAAGATCCGGAGCAGTAGTTGTTTTGTCTAATTTCTGGAGTTGGGGTTTTGTTGGATTGCTGGGATTCGTCTCTTTTGAAGCGAAGGGTATTAGGGTTGTGGAGTTCAACAGCGGCTGTCGTGGTTTCAGTGCTATGCGGAGGAAATTTATTAGAATTTGTGTGGAGATTGCGCCTGATTACAGCAGTACCACCGTTCAAAGACATTGTACTGGAGAGCTACGAGTGACAGATTCAGTGAAGAAGGCTGGAGAGTGAATTCGAGAGTAGGGAAAGATGAGCAGGAGGTAGACAGAGGGGAATGCAGAGGGGGGTTGGTTTGGAAAGCGGAGTGGAGCAGAATGTCGGAGGTCTTGTTTCTCGCGCTTAGGCGTTGGGGAGCTTCAGCGAAATCTGACATTCGTACTCTGACGACATGCAGAGCGGTAGTCTTGCCTCGATTTGGAGGCCCCGAGGTAGCTTTCTGCTCCTGATCAGTTGATTTGAAGGATCGGACTTCCGACACCCTCCCCCTCCATGGTTCAATTTCGAAATGCTATAACGTCGTTGTGACGCTTTGTAATATTTGTTTGGAATTTTAGGTGTAAACATCATAACTAGGTGCGCGAGATTGAGGTCAAGTAGCCTGCAGTCTTGGCCTTGTTCCCTCCTTTAATGGCTGAACATGACTTGAGAATATTGTTATTGCTGAAACTACAAAACCCAGAACATGGGCGATGTTCCTAAACTCGGAGCTCGATCTTGTTGTGCCGAGGAAACTCATACGAGTAAATTTGAGTGCAATTTCTGAATCGTGATTGAGACGAAATGATTTAATTGTGATGCTTTCTGGTGGAGAATTCTGTGCGTGCCGAGTTGCGACATGGGTGGCGGCCTACTCACTACAAGCTCAAAGGCGAACTCTAGGGAACCTAGGTTTCAAAACATGGAGCACACTAACAGACTGTGGCCCTTGTTTTGTCTTATGCGTCGGTGTGTGGTGTCAATGACTGGTTGAAATTATAAATTCATCATACTTATTTAAATTGTCAAGGGGAGTTGTTAGGAACTCACACCCCACTGATGAACTTGGCAGGTTCTTCAAGTGCGGGATGATTCCATACTTCCAGACCTGGGCGCATCTGATGTGCTGGTGCGTACACATGCAGTGGGCGTCAATCCATTGGATATGCGGGTATCTTTCGTTCACTTTTGTTTCTTGATCCCAGTTTTTCAGATTTTAGATCTTTCAGTGTTTTACATGTTCAAAGATAGTTTATAAACTCCCGTTATATGATCAGCAATGACAATTGTTGTGTATGAATTTGTTAACTTTCTCGATAGCATCAGTATGGGTAACCTGTTGCTGTATCATTCGTAATTACCTTCGTCATCCAGATGAGGGAAGGGTACGGGCGGTCATTGTTTGAGCCACTTTTGCCACTAGTTCTCGGCCGGGATGTTAGTGGAGAGGTTACGGCGGTTGGGAGCAATGTGAGACAGCTTCTTGTAGGGGATCAGGTGTTTGGAGCATTACATCCAACTGCAACACGTGGAACCTACAGTGATTACGCAATTCTCGGGGAAGAACAACTGGCCCCGAAGCCTGAGTCACTTTCTCACACTGTACGTCGAACAATCCTGTCTTTTCGCTTTGTGGTATTCTACTAAGATATTGTTACTATATAGTGTGGAGTGTGACTGTTGGTAACTTTGGTCAATCATTGCAACTGCCGTTCGATAATGTTGCTGGTTCTACTGTGGCAGTCCATTTTCAGATAGAGTACTATAATTTTTTCTGCTAATATTCCACTAACCTTGTAACTTTGATGAATTTGAAATAACGAACTTAAGCTTTGATTATTGCCATATATTGCACTGGGTTATTGAGGTTTTTAAACAGATCACATCGTATGGTGGTGGTGGTGGTGATGATGATGATAATATTGTTATTTCAAGTTTTGTCACATCTTTCATTTCTGGCTAACACAGGACGCTGCTGCTATTCCATTCGCCTCACTCACCGCCTGGAGAGCTTTAAGAAGCACTGCAAAGATTCAGAAGGGGTATAAATTCTCTTCCTATAACGATCAATATGGACATGAAACTCCATGTATGGAATTTTCTTAAGGATAAAGAATTGGGAGAATTTGGAACATTCTAGGACTTATTGTTTTGTATTTTATTCCGACTCGGCAGATTAGAATCGCAAAATGTCTACTTGTGTTACTGATGTCTCAAGAGCATACGTTACTGATCTCTCGACGATGTTACTACAGGCAGAAAGTCCTGATCATGGGAGGTGGAGGTGCTGTTGGCCTTGCTGCGATTGCTTTGGCCAAAGCTGCAGGGTGCTATGTTGCCTGCACATGTGGCAAGAGGAGTATGGAGAAAGTAAAGGAGGCAGGGGCTGAGGAAGCTGTTGATTACACTTCTCCTGTAAGTTATCATGATTTTATAGATTAACAGTTTCGTAGTTTTCTCATGCAGTTGATAATATAGAGGTCGATAGTTTTGAGAGATGAGTAAGAGGCGAGAATAGCGTAAATAGTTGCGGAATCATCCTTCTGGACCGAAGTCGTTGTAATTGCATCATCTTTCTTGTAAAAACAGTTTTTGTGCAACCTTGCGGCGTCGCATTTTGATTTTCAATGTATCATATTATGCAGAGTGTACGGTGCGCTCAGAAAAGGTGTTTTTTTTCTTCTTCTTCTTCTTCTTCTTCTTCTTCTTCTTCTTGTGTCTCTTGTATGTCATCGATCATTTTCTAATCGTGGGTTCTGTTTTTTCTGATTCTAGAATGTGAAAGGTGAATTTCAAGACAGGTTTGATGTTGTGCTGGACACAATTGGTGTGCCCGAGACTGAGACCACTGGCATCAGCCTTCTGCTACGGGGTGGACAGTACATGACTCTGCAGGTATAACCTGGATATTCTGTATTTGGAATGAAGAACTTTACGCTAAGCATAAAGTCAACCCTTTGTTCTTTTTGCAACAATAGAATTTTCGAATCAGCTGCTGAATCAAATTGTGAAGTTCACACCTTACAAGAAGTGATGTTGCTGCTAATGTGTTTGCATTAAAAGACTAACTGCGAGGATATTCTGAAAAATGCCTCGCAAAAACAGACAGGTATTGACCGAATTTATGATTCGGTCTTTGACCATATTGACTGGTCCTTTGTAGTTCTAGCAAAAAGACAAGGTCTGTGTCTAATTTGGACATTGGAAAAATAGTACAATGAAATTTGGCATCCATTCATTGCAGGGGCAAACAGTAACCTTCACAGATAAATATGGCCTCATAGTAGGGGGTGCTGCTGCAGCAGTTGCATTGCTTCAGAAGCAGATGCAGTACAAACAATCACATGGAATTGGTTAGTTCGCTACACCCTTTTCAAGAGCATCAGAGAATTGATTGGGCAAGTATTGCTAACGGTGATTAATGCTTCGACTCTAAGACTTATCATGGGGGATGGGTTTACCATGCACAGACTACTGGTGGCCCATTATGCGAACAGATGCCGAGGGCCTGGAGGAGATATGTAGACTGGCATCAGATGGGCGACTTAAAATTCCTGTGGGTCTGACTTTTCCATTGGAGATGGCAGCAGAAGCGCATCGAGCAAGGGATAGCAAGAATGCTGGTGGTAAAGTTGTTCTAAAAGTTGATGTTTAGGTGAACGTGCAGTATTGAAGTACTATACAGACATCATATCTATAGGACTATGTAGTTTGTTAACCTTCAATATGTGATTCTGCAATAGAATGGAACCATCACTTTAATGAGTGCCTTCTCTTGATTTAAATGGTATTATTGAGACTCAGGATCTGGGGAAAGCCCACGACCTTTCGTAGGTGGTCATATATAATCTGAGATGTGGCAGGTGTAGACAGACCGTTGGTGAGACTTGCATTTATGTACAAATTGCATCTTTTTTTACTTTTTTCATCCATCCCGAGCAGTGCGAAAATGAGGTTCTCTGGTGAATTTAGCATGCTTTATCTTTTTAACAACTCAAAGAACCAAAGTCCAACCTCACACAAACCAATGCATCAATCTAATGATGTATTCAAAAACTTCTTCGCTAAAAGAAGACGCTGCATTTACAAAATGACAATCCTGTAGTAGGCTGAATGTCTTTCACTTATATATTTATATTTATTTTGTAGCATCCATTCAAATAAAATTCAAATTATTTGGAGTAGAATACAACTCAATATATTGTTTGTAATATTTTTTTAATTGAACTTTACCTATACGTGATAATCATCCCAGTTTTTTAAAAAAAAAAAAAAAAAAAAAAAAAAAAAATCGAATGAGACGAAAGAAATAAGTGAATAAATGCTTTTTTTAAAGATAAATCCATTCAGTTTTTATTTTCTTTAAAACAAAATGAGCTTTCACTTGAATGGAATTTATTTGCAACACTTGATTACACAAAGGGAGACAACTTCCTTAGTGCACAATCAAAGGTGAAATGTATTTGCAAAGAGGACCAACATTTTTTATCATAGCCCTTACCAATCCTTCCCAAGAGTTTCATTCTCTACCCCTCGTACCCATTGCAGAATTAGGACATCACCAATTGCAAATTTGAGGGATTGGTGAAGGAATACAACACTCTAAGCAGAACGGAAATAAAGAAAAATGGAAAAAATGAGTCAATTTAGATTTCAAGTGGGTCAATTTACTATTCCCCTATAACACAGGATGGCTAATTAGCCCACATAGGCATCAGAAAAAGAGCTGCATCACCAACTGATGTGGAACATGCCATACATTGCCTGTCACAGTGAGTGCAGAGGCCCAGCACTCCCTAATAAAAGTCAGTCAGGGCACTCTACAGTAGCTGCTGTGCTTTTAAGTTGGGAATTATAAAAAGAGCTCTGAATTTGAGCTCATCCAATTAATTAACATGGCTTTTCCAAAGCTAGAATATATGTACAGTGACTTGTGGTACATAACTTCTATACAATTCATGTCAATATGAATAGAGGCATTCCTAAACTTCACGAGGAAAATTATTCACAACTAAGTGGCCAGTGACTAAACTAACACCTTCACTAATTGTCCAGAATTTAGGACATCTGAAAAACCTCTACATGTCTAAAAATGCTGCAGTAGAGCTGAAAGACCGTTCCACCCGAACATTCCTGGGGTTTCTGCATGGTTGGGAAGAGTGAAGTTCAGAGCAAACATCTCTTTGGGCGCACAACCTGGATTAATAATCCCCACAATCCTTGATACGACTTCGGCACTGGCTTCTACATGACGCAGGTTATGAGGGTCTGCCCACAACTTATACACCAGCTGCAGCTTTCGCTGCTTTGTGTCAAGAGGGACACCCCACCTTATGTACAAGTCTTCCCTTTCCTCATTGGGCAATCTTCGCGACATCTGCTTTGCTAGAAGATCCCTTTCTCTTTTCAAGCTTTTAGTGCTGCACAGTACAAACTTGATGCTTAGCACAATAACAGAAGCGACATCCGAAATTTTGGGAGGATAGTACACTGAGTCAGAAGGTGTTCAATAGCAGACGGCGTCACTCATTCCGAATCCTGTAGTTCCTGATTTGGCACGGTTTTAGTATCTCTTGGAAGAATTCAAAATGTGACCGCAAAAACCAGATTTTCGCATGTTAAACAAGAAACTAACCTGTTCGAGCTGCTTGGGCTATGAGCGCGATGGATTAATTGCTCCTCTAGGGTGTTAGCATTGCACTGATTCCCTTGGGACTCGGCATTGAAGTTCTCTTGCAGCCATGTTAAACGGCGTAGCTCAACTTCCATGTAAATGGAATCAGCAGGATCTCCATTGAATAATAGATAGAATTGAGTTCTGTGGACGATGGACACATTGCAGGTGTCCCACATTTCCAAGATGAGAGCTCGTTGCTGATCAAATTGTAGCTTCCAGCTATCAAGTGATTGCACAGGCTGCAAATCAAGCTCATCATCATTGAGGTGGTCATCTCCCTCTACTTCCTCGTCATCGAGCCCTCCAGCTTCTAGTTCAAGAACCTGTGGAATTTATCAATGACCATGAGTGGTTAAGAATGCGGGGTCGCATTGCTGAAAATAAAAAAGAACCCGTCCCTGAGGATTCTAATACCTCTTTGATTGCACTGTGCACAGAAACAGATGAAATGGTTTATTCAGTCAGAGATGGAATGAACCATTTACAACAAAACAGAGAGCAAAGGAGCATTTACCTGGCACACAAGAAGCTGCTTCTGATATTGAAGCTTTGCTACACGCTCCTTCAAATCTGTAACATAAGTGCGTATGCTTTTGATATTGTCTTCAGCTGCAGTTTTAAACAAATTCTGCATTTTCCGGAGGTCCACTAAGTTGGACCTCTCGTGTGCACCGCCAGGACTCTCCTTGGATTGGCTTGTGTTCAGATTTCTCTTTGATGGCGACACGCCTTGCGTTAGGTGTCCTTTACCTCGAGGTGTTGCAGGCTCTTCAGCGTTATGAGGGTTGTTGTCACGTAATACTCTTGGGGGTGCATTTTCATTGTTCTCGCTATTACTGTATCGTAATGTCCTCCGAGCAGCTGGGGAGGAAGGAGTATCTGATGTGAGGCGCTGCCTAGTCATGCTGGCCGAGGGAGTTGGGGGAGCATTCCTTCGTCGTCCACGGGTTTTAGATACCCCTCCAGCCTCCTGCGTGTGGGAAAGATAATAACGGTCAATTGACAAGCACCTATGGCGGAATACAGATTGTCCTGCTACATGGATATGCGTTACCTTCATTACTGCGTCCATTAGCAGGTTTATCTGCGACAACTTCATTGCTTACGTTAAAAACGGATGATATTACTAGATGCCGGAATGCAACGACTCAGCTCGTCTGGAGTAGCATCAAACACAGGGCTAATGCGTGTCAAGTGTATGAAAATTCCAACTTCCAATCCACTTCTTTGGTCAGGTTCTCTACTGCCAAGCTTCATAAGCTATTACTTGGGACACCTGAAACGACTGCATTGGAGAGTAAGTCTTGCCTTGGGCGAGCGTGCTTCATTAGCACGAACCATTTTGTCCAAGGACCTTTGCACACTCTCCAACTGCTCCTCCAGAGTCGCTATGGCAGCATCAGCGTCAGACTTGTCCTTTCCTCCCAGTCTAGAGAGCTCTTGTCGCAAGGTCACTTGGTTGAGACTGAGAGACTGGCGTAGAGTGTCTACGCCCTCCTTGCTCTCCAAGCTCCTGAATTTTGAAGTTGACGATCGAAGACTGTGCATAGTTTGAAGCTCATCCTGAAGTTTCTGAACTGTAGAAGCAGCGTCATGGTTCATACCAGCTTGAGCTAACCGCAGACACTCTACTTCCTTTTGAAGAGCTTCAAGAGCTCGGTTGGCATCCTCTCCCAACTCATCCTGTAGAGTTTCTAGATTCCGAATCTCTTGAACCAGCATAACTGAAGCAGCAGTAGATTGCCGAACAGACATGGCTGGGCCTTTCAGCCGCATCTGGCTAGGAGGAGTTTGCGGGTGCTGGTTCCCTTCCTCGTATTTTCGTGTGAGATAATCTCCCGAATCAGACCACCTTCTTCGGTTCGTACTAATTGACAGAGGAGTACGGGAGATGGATAGAGGACCAGGTGTTGATGGCTGTTAAGTATGCCAAATGGAAAGAGTTAGTCAGTAGCTACGATTTCCGTACCAAAAGAATAGAAACAGGACATTATAATCCTTTGTGACTGATAATGATTACTATAACACTTGCTTGGAAATCAATCCTGACAAAGGAATGTAGGTAAGATGTCTCACAGGTCTGTTCGCCGCTTCCACAGCAAGTTTCATGGCTGCCTCTTCAGCTAGTCTTTTCGCCACCTCTTCTTCCTCCAGCTTCCTCCTTACCTCTTCAAGTCGAGCTTGCGCAGCATCACGCTCTAATTCCAGCTCCCTAAGTTCCTCCTCCATCTGAAAAACTTCGGGCTCAGTATCGCTGCTTGGAGAACAGATTGCATGACTACAAAAACCGAACACAGACAGTACCGGTACCGCTACAAACCTTCTGAATTTGTAGATCTTTGGCATGCAGCAGTGCTTCAGATGATGTGATTTCAGTGGTTGGATCTGGGACTTTCAGCTCTGCCTCCAGTCTGGCCACTTCTTTCTGTAGTTGCTTTACCAAAACCTTGTCCGACACGACCTGACCGGCAGTAGTAAAGAATCATTTCAGATATGTATTGGACAAGAAGAAGTGAATTGCAGACACTTCCGAATACACAACAACAAATATCCTGAACATGGGAATGCAGAAGTTAGAGGTGCATTTCTTTGCAAATGGATCATTTTGCATTCGAGGTAAATTCTACGATATCGAATCGGACCATAACTGTAGCAGAACCTCACCATGTTGATGTGCGTGGTATTAGTTACTTCCTTCGCTCTGGTAGCGAAGGCAAGAGTGTTCCGTGATTGCTCAACATGACTGTGGGCAGGACTCATGGTGCAGATGATAGCAGTTCTGGCATTTCCTCCCAGCGAGTGCTGTAGAATCCTTGTAAGTTTGGAATCTCTGAATGGAATATGTCCTTTCTTTGCACTTCCTCCACTGAAACCAGTAGATACGAAGTTAGACAGCAATAATATGGAGATAAGAAACAGAACCACCAAATCCTCAACTGCTGACAGATATGAGACCGGCTTCACCTGAGTTTGCGAATACAAGTACTAAGAGTTAACAGGCTGCGGTTAATGTGGGCGCCTTCCCTGAGCCTGGTTCCATCAGCATGAGTTTGAGAAGCTCTCTCACTTCCAGCCAGATCCACAAAATTCTGAATAAAAAAAAAGATCGAGTGGCGAATTAGATGATTCACCTGTAGGATATAAATCAATAGAAGTGATGATGTCCTTAAATAAAAAAGGTGGCCATTTCCTTCAATTACAGCAGTCTCTCACAATGTCCTGAACTGGCGCACTTGACAACTGATTTTGAAGGATTCTGGAACAGATGATGGATAAGTCAATTACCAAGCTGGCTATTAATGAGGCAGATGGGATCCCTGGAGAAACTCCAGAGGGGTGGCTCTCCACCGTCTGCACATGCCAGACATCAGTTTACTCCAACTGTACAACTAACAGTGTCGGAGTTCACTTAGAAATATTGTCCTGCGAAGGAGACCCAATTTCTTAAACCCTGCATCATTCATGGGGCTAGTATGACTTGTGGGGATGATATGTACCAATCGGATGATCTGATGCGACCTAGACGATGTATCATTCAGGCTCGTCTCGCCAACTTGTCGTTGAGCTGCAAATATAAAAGCAATCCATGATTGATTGGAGTTAGCGTAAGGATACAGGTGACATTTGAGTAAGCTGCCTTGCTGTCCAGGGAGGGAACCGAACAGAAATATTACGCTCTCGGGAAGCATACTCATAGAAGCTGAGGTCTTTGTACCTTCGCAAATTTTGATTAGCTGTCGCAGATGGCTGATGTCACGGATAACTTCCTCTTTCAGCTTGTCCACAACAGTACCCTTCTGCAATTAGCACCACTCACTGTAAGATACTTCGCCAGGCTTCAGATGCATGAAACCGTACACAACAACCCCGGAGCTTCGGAGCACAAACTACAAGAGATTGCAATTGGAGAAGGTGCTGAAACACGAGCCGTCTCTCTTCAGGGCACCTATTCCGTACCTCTTTGTCGTCGAGTAATCTCAGAGGAACACCTTCGGGGGTCAATAAATCTTTGACCACCTCATTGTAGATTTCGAGTGCTGAAGCTTTCAATAAAAATTCTCTATCTGTATTCTGAATAGAAAAAGAAGGAGTTAGCTAATTTTCACCAAGAACTCGATGTCATCCGCCACTAGAGGAGTATCAAATGAAGCTAAGATCAAAATTTTCTTTTGCATGGTTCAGCAAAACAACTGCGAGGTTCAACCAACCTGGTCATCGAATTAAGATTCAACAGGAACAGTACTCTCAGGTATGCGGAGTTGGATTGGTTAACACATAAAAATACATGTAAATCTCCCGTCGGAAAGGAATTTGAAGCGAATGTGATGTGCACATACATATCACACTTCAAAGACAGTGCCTCCCTCACACCTTGTAATTAGACTACAAATGTAAGCATGAAAAATTAGATGCTGGACAAGGAAGACCTACATGTTCGATGTACTCAAAAATGTCTGCAATGGCGCTTTCAGTGACTCCCCTCATTGTATACGTTTTCCCACTGCTGGTTTGGCCATATGCAAAAATAGTGGCTGAATAGAGCCAAACCAGGTCAGAATTATCACCCATTAAGAATACGGAGGAGACACGAGGGAATTGGAACCAAGAGAAACAACAGGATCAGATCGGCTTGTGGTATTCGTGGACACGCAACTCTGAGCAAGTGGTGAGAGCTCGACTCACAATTTAGACCCGTGAGTGCTGAGAGAGCCACGTCCTTAGCGCCTTCTTCATATACCCTTCGAGTGAGGCAGTCGGGTCCGAAGACACGATCTGCATTTTACAGTCAAAAGTCGATTCTTAATCTCAAGCTGAAAGTGCGGATGGGTTTTGGGGCATTGTCAACGATGGGAAGTCACTTCTAATCGACCCGCGCTAGTGTCACGTACATATCTGTTATATTTCACAACCATCTACACGACAGCGTCAATTAAATGAAGCTAGGTCACTGAAGCTACTGGGTCTTGGGAGGAGGCATGGCAATAGATATCTTCAATCTTTACTAAGAACACATTATCTTTTCCGCATACAAAGGGAACTATCAATCGAATTACACATTTTCCCTGAATTTGCATGGCGTAGAACCATCGAGGCTAGAGAATATGAATCCACGGGTGCTCGTTAAGGACGGACGGGCTTAAGATTGGAGATAAGAAAATCGACAAAACCTCTTTGCCTCCAAAACTATTGTCACCTCTCAAAAGGGAGGTCGTGCGATTCTGTGCAGACTACTCGAATTCTATCGGTGTGGAAAGTGAGACTTGGCACTCACCTAGTGTATATGCGGCAGGAAATGGGGAACGCTCCTGAAGAGCGTGCTTGAACGCTATTGACTGCTCACTGGTGCACACCCAATCAGAAGCGTCAGACCGCGCGACCTCCTTGGCGCTAAGCGGCCTCACTCGGACGGTGACATAAATCTTCTCTTCCCCACTTCTGACCCGTGTCAATTGGGCTCCTCCACCTCTTTCGATTGCCACAGTCATGGCTGTGGACGCTAAGCCACCCGCCTACGACTCTCTTTCAGCCCTTCTCTTCAAACTTCCCCTCTCCCTCCGAACCAGGCCTGGGGGGAGAACGGCTTCCTCTTCCTCTTCAAGCACATCAATCCAACAAGCCGCACACCAGCACGCACTCCAACTCAGAGAGCAATGCAGCTCCACGTCACGTTGATGAAACAAAGTCACCAGCCGTGCACCATAAATTCCCGACGCAGAAACTCAACAACGCCGCACTACATCAAACCCATACGATCGTCCGACGACACAAACGTCAATTTCCAGGCACAAGACGATCCGGGCGAAAAATTGAAACGGAGATTGAAGTCAGAGGCCGCACCGCTCCAGCAAGCACAGAATTGGGTCCCCGAAACAGAATGCCGGGATCAGAGACGACACCCAGAACAGAAAGTGGGGGTGGAGGAGGAGGAGGAGGGGGGGAAGGCTTCGGGAAGAGGCTTGGAAGGGGAGATCGTTGGAGGAGGAAGGCACCGATTTGACACAACGGTCACAAGGATTTGCAAGGTCCGACACGGCGACGCCTTCTCGATCACTCTCCCACTCCCCTCGCTCGCTCCCTCGATCTGTCTCGCTGTGTCTGTCGGTGCGTGCGTGCGTGGGATGAGCGAGCGTTGCGAGGGGGCAGCGGAGCCAACGAGACTGACCCTAACGGTCATGACACCGCGGAATGTGCCGCCTCTCCACACCCATTCTGTGCAGAACCGTCGCCTTCTTAGCGTCCCTTACTACCAGTGCCGTGACTGACATGTTTTGTTTTTTGAAACTTTTCTTATAATTATTTGAACTTTCGAACGTGGTATTTAGGTCTTTGTGATCTGGGTTTTCCAAAAGTTTAGTTAAAACGGATGGATAAAGAAAGATGGACTTGATCAGAGAGTCAATTATTTAAACGTAAAGTATTCGAGGTTGTAATTTAAAATTAGTGTTTGATGAATGGTAGCTTTAATTTTAAAGAATACCAACTGAAAATAGGACAATCTACTGGCATTTAAAGACATTTAGAAAAGAAAATTTTAAAATAACAATCTTCAAAACGTTTTGTTTGACAAAATTATTGGCTTTGAGCAAGTATACAGTGGTCAAAACTTTAATTATGAATAGATTACACTATACTTTTTGGACATGTGTAAAATTTTAATTTTGAAAAAAATGACTATAAAGCACATATGTCATATTAATTTAAATAGAAGTGTTTAAACCTAGAATACCTGCTTTCTCTAAAATAAAAACAAGATTACTAACTTCACATGTACACATGCATTTGAACCTTACAAAATTTAAATCCTGTTTTTTTAATAGTATATTATTAAAGAGAAGTGTTAATTGTGCAATAAGAAATGAAAAATAAAATAAAATAAAATAAAATCTGAGGCAATGAATTCGTAATTGAAATTTTTATTAATATTAAATTAACAATTTGAATTGTGTGATATTTTTTATTTTCATTTGTTTATTTAGAGTCTCTAGGAGGCCATATTTTCCTAAATTTTTAATTTCAAATTCCAAATAATAAAATCATAATTAATACCACTTCATACTATCTGACTTTTTTTCAAACTTACATCTTCATTTGACTACAAAGAATTCAAAAAAGATTTTTACATATTACTTTGCATGTTTTTACATTACAAAAATTCACTATTAGTTTTTTCTATAAATTTCTATAATATCTAAATTCTATAAATAATATCTAAACCATATATGAATATGGAAAATGTTAAAATGACCCACCCATTTTCTAAATTGACCCACCCTAGTGTATCCATCATTAGAAAAATGGATCATGTCTAGAAACCATCATTACAATCATGGCCCTCACCTCCATAGCCCTTGTTCCCAACCCCCACTTCCTTTGTTCCTAGTCTTCTTTATCTCAACCTCCCTTATTCCTCCTTGTTCTCCACAATAAAGTGGGTCAATTTAATAAATGGGTGGGTCATTTTAACACTTTCCTCTCTCTCTCTCTCTCTCTCTCTCTCTCTCTCTATATATATATATATATATATACTATTTAAAATTTTTAAATTAGTTTTTTATTATTTTTTATTTTTTTAATTAAAGAAAAGACTTCTACAAAAAATTAAACTTACTCTATGAACCTTTGAAAAAATAAGTCCTTAAACCTACAAAAATAGGTTTCTACTGTAGGATGCAAAGAAAGAAAATTTAAATCTATTCTTAGTATTATCAACAAATGTTTTACATCTTATTCAGCTTTTGATTGATAAAGCTTAGTGCCTCTTTGCAAGTCATTCTAATATTATTGTTTACTCCAATGAACAAGCCTCAGTGTAGAGTAACAAAACCTCTAACTGTGAATGAAACCTCTAATTTTAACCAAAACTTCATCAACTCTCATCAACGTCATTATCAAATCACCAATGCTCAGCAGTCTTCAAGATACATGCAAATACGAACTTTGTGGGAGCTTGACGTAATAATTTTGCACCATATTCAGACTTCTATTCTCCTAATATTATTATCCTTTAAAAAGATCTAATCGATGTGTTGCTACAAATGTTTCTCCTCCTATTTGTTACATGATTTACTCTCCGCATACAAGCGTTGAACAACTATAAGGTGCTAAAGTTTTGAAGACGGTGGCTTCAGGATTGCGGATTGAAGCGGTGCTACTCTGTTCAATCACCAGATTACGTTTTGACGCATGAAATCCTTGCGTAGCGTCGGCATGCATCTGATTGTGCTTGCTTCGAATGGAGGGGCTAAGACGATTCCAGTTGGACCTCGGCAGTCCAACAAAGCCACTGCATTCCAAGGCGATTTTCGATCTAAATCATGCAGATGACAAACTCTTTGATGCACCCTCATCGAAACGCGTCGTTAAAGCAACAATGGGAGCTGTCAGATTGCTTGAAACACAGGAGGTTCGTGTAGTGAACGATACAGTTGGTTAGCTTCAGTATGAGTGTGTGTGTATGTCTATATATATATATATATATATACACACACACAGACGCACACACGCAGATCGCATTGGCCTCTTCAGTGCTCAGTCTGCACCCTATTTCAGTCCGCAAAGGACACCGGGCACCAACAACCAACAACTTGACGAAGCACCCTGGTTTCGGCAAGTTATGGCAGCAACTTTCGTAAATTGATGCGTCAGATGAACAGGTCTCACCTTTGAGAAAATTCAATCACCATTTTCGACTCCTGTAACAATGTGCGATTCTAACTCGTGGCTAGTGTCCAAGTAAATCATTTCGTTAATCACGTGTGAGTTGAGGAGGTGACAAAAAAACATATTGATTGTTAACCTATTTGAGGAAAGGGAAAAAACTGAAACCTGAAAAGTCACAGGACGCTTGATTACACATCACAAAGACTACGAAGACGTGACTCTTCAATTTGTCCACCTAAGAACCCTCGAGAATTCCTACAGAGGAGATATCCAAGTTAAGCTAGCAAGTAAGATATCATTACCGAATTTGGTTTGATATGCAGGGCTGCAAGAATGCAAGTTAATGCTGCTCTTGCTGATATTACATTAGAAGAAAAAAAAAAAAAAAAAAAACAATTCATGCTTTGCTAATGTGAAGGAGATGAGGATAGCCATGTCCTCACTGCAATGTACTTGTTCACTGGTCATTTCGAGTTTACACGGCCAAGCTGGACAGTAACGGTTAACATTGGCAGCGTGAAAATTTATTCCTCGTCTCTTTTCGTCAAAATGCAACTTTGTTGTAGACAACTACTTGGATGCGGACGGCGGCTTGCCGCTTGCCAACCGCAATCTAATGGGTCCTCGCAGTGGGTCTTCAGGATGTATTACTCTCCCTTTCTGAGGTCATAACCACAAGCATATTTGCACCACAAGCTTAATCCCATGACAACTCCAACACATGCAGACCTAGAATGCAGAACTAGAGAGGTTTTTTCTTGAACAGCATCTCAATTTCAATAGTGCTGTCTGTCGTTACCAACAATTCAACAAGGTCACATGTTTTAAGCATTCCTTAGTTAAGTCATGTGATTCACCTGTGTGATCTCGATGCGACCGCTCAAAGCTAGTTGACGTGCTACCTACGAAACACAAAGTCCACATTCCGCGCACTGCATTTCTGTTATTCAACAGTTTGCTGGTACCAGCAATGAGATTAAACCAGCTTTAGAGTTTGAATTGTCCAGATTCTGAATTATAATTCCAAAGTGACTTGCACTGGTACCTCTCTGGTGATGTCCATAAGGTCCCTCCAATTTTCAGGATGCAGCGCTCTGGCTGCACAGTCCCATTCCAGATGCATTTGTAAATGAGCAAATTCTTTACATGAGAGAGGAGCAACCCAACCTACAAATCAGACATTGCTGGAAAGGGCACTAATTTCGCTACAGAAAAAGGTAACCACAAGGAAGATAGGTCTATGACATCTCAACGCGTATGTGAGCGTTAGCAAGGAACGACCAGCGCAAAGCCCTAGCAAATAAGAACGGAGAGAAGCAAGCTCACGAGCTTCCGAAGGGCATATGGTGGCAGCTGGTGCCCTCTTTCCTAGAAGTTCGAGTATTGTAACCCTAAGCTCCTCTCGGACCGCATCCTCGTCACCCTGGAAAAACAACCCAGAAATTCGAAACGTATCAATAAGCCTCAGGGATGCTCGAGGTGCTTAAAGATGTGTCGTTTCAGCAAATTGATGCCCTCAAAATGTGTGGGTCGAACTGGCTACGGCATTGATGTCGCCCTTCAAGCTTACCGTCTCGTCTTTATAAAATGCAATACGGCCAATGGACAATATCACAAAAACAACGACACTCTTCATGTGCGTCAAGTCAGACGCAAAAACAAATCCCCTTCAACCATGTCCCGAAAGCAACATCCAGCATCGCAATTGCATCTCACCCTCGAAACACTCTATAACATAGGCACTCTTGACCCCGCAACACTAGAGGTGGTACCAAATGCGACACCTGCATGATCTAACGGTATTAGAATCATGAACAATTAGGATGCTTACTCCAAGAGAGTCATACGGGGAAGTCATGGCTAGTTTCGCAGCAGCAAACCAGGCATCGGTTGACTCGAAATTGCTGGAATTCTCACACATCAGTGGTCTCGACAGCGACAATCGCAGTGCATAGCACGGTTAGGTCAGCAAACATAAAGCAGAAACAACACACAATACAGCAATGTAGACTCAGGGCAAGCAATGAAGACAATGGGCAAAGACGGCAACGGGGAACACCAATTCAAACAAACAGTGTAGCCACTTCACACCCACACCGACTCCAACTCGCAGCATCAAATAATTGAGAATAATGCGCGCCTCACTCCATCTGCCATCGATTTCACTTGGTGGTTAAGACGACGTTGTCTTCCCTCGTCCGTTCGATCAACCGTCCACTGTGATGGGCTCTGAACAAGATACATTCATAAACTTCAAAGTGCTTTGTGTGAATGGGTTTTCCACGCACCCAATTATTTTAAGGCTCATGTTGCTATATGCTCATGCATTATGTCTGTGCACAAATTCAAGGTCTCTAATTGGCTGCTTTTCTTTTCTCCTACAAATGGATTTGGACATGACTTCCTTCCTCTCTTACTTGTCTCAGCTTGGTCCCAGTCTTGAAGTGAATACTGGACCTCCTTTCTTGGTTCCTTGTCAATTGCGAGTCAAATTAGCAAATCAACCAATTTGAAGGTCTCTATTTTCTTAGGTATATGTACAGCAATTTGGGATGTGCATGTAGCAACTAGGGGTTTGCATGTAACTTGAATCTTTTTCTTATATTCAACATGTGCTTACAGACACTTGTGATGACATATACTCTCCTCACTGGTCTAGGTTTGCACTTGTAGGAGGAGATGTTCAGCCACGTAGTCTGTTAGAACTTAAAGTATTTGTACGGGACGTGTTAGAACTTTAAAGTATTGTATGAGACGTCTGTGGCCAGGCAGTGTGAAGACGGTAGAGCAGGGAAGTGCTCACATTTCAGGCTCCTTGTGCATACAATTCAAGGTGGAAGGAAATAATATAAAATAAATGAATAACATACTCGATTGTTGGAGGGTTGGAAGTTGAGAGGTTGGTGTATGAGCTTTTGAACACTTCTTTGTAGTTAGTTTGGCAGATTAACATGAAAATGGTGCTGCATGGTTGTGGGAGCATAGAACTTGAGGTTTTTGGTGAGGTCAACGTGGAGAAAATTTAATGTAAAGTTACTTGAAATTTCTTCAACAGAGGTGGATTATACAAATCCAGATGATTAGGCTACACAGAGGCAGAAGAGTTGCGTAGGTGGCAAGTGAGGAAAGCTACAAGTAAGGTGGGGATCAGACAGGGGGGAGCCAACTGAAGCACACAGGCCCTTCTTCTACTGTGGGGGTATGGCGACCATGCGGGGAACGGTTGTGAGGGTGAGTTATGGCGGGTTTTATGCCTTCAGAAAATAGCAATTCTAGACGCGGAATGTGGCGGTGGAGTCATCGAGGACGATCTTCTGTCACCCGGCAGCAGCCCCAATACTCCGCAGTCGACATTCTCCCGAGTGTCTCCACGCCCTACAGGAATCCATCGCAGCTGATGCGTGTCGGCGAATCTATATCTAACTCTCGCTCGCTCACCTTATTTTTTTTATATATAAAAACATATCTACAGATATAGCATTAATGAGGCTTCGTGAGACTTTAACTGCCGTCACCAGAGAGCTTCTCATGAGCCTACGCTGTTTTAGTTTTCGCACGGTGTATTTTTCGGAGGAAGATGCGGCCATTGGAGTTCAGGAGATCGCTACGAAGTGGGGAGGCTATTTCACAGCGGGCGGATTCTCTGTTGCCCCCCCCCCCCCCCCCCCCCCCCCCCGAAACGAAGCCCTGCTTGGTGAGCGGAGCTCGTTTTCGGTCGGCAATTGGGAACTGTTACAAGTTGGTAAATAGCTGCCAAGGCTACGTAACCAAAAGCCTTTGAGAACTTGTGTGGGACCGTGTAGAGTGTTATGGAAGGTGATGGCTATGGTGGTGGTTTCAATTTTTCTGCGTCTTCTTCTGCGCAAGAGTAGCGCGCTTGTCCACCTTCTGCACTTTCTTCAAAATGGTCTCCGGCTTTGTGCTGCACTTCACATACACCTTGTTTAGATCCTGTTCGCAATCCACCTTCTCCACCCCTGAATCAGCAACCACAACACTGTCAATATCTCAAAAAGTGCAGACCTGGCAGAAAACTTAGTCCTCGAAGCAGGAAGGACGAGCGTAATGGCCAGCGTGTGAAGTTCCGGAGGGAAATTAGTGAAGAAGACAGACCTTCGACATCGTCGAGAGCCTTTTTCACATTCCGCACACAGTTGCCGCAGCACAATTTTACGTTAAGCTCAATTGTTTGTATCTTCGATTTAACTTCTCCAGGCTCCTCCGGTTTCTTCGCCGGAGCTGAGCCGGATGGCTTGGCTTTAATTTCACCCTCGATGAACTTGGGGTCCTTCTTGACTCCTGGGATAAACATCTGCAATCAATATGCACACCAACACCATCAGCACCGCGAATCATCCGCTTGGAAACAAAACATCCTGACAAGTTGAAAAACCTGAATTGCAAGTACTCGCAACCATCAGTTTATCATCGAGCTCACTTCATCAAGGAAGACGAGTTTCTGGTCCCCAGATATGAAATAATACGGTCGGGGGTCACGGAAGTTCTCCATGGCGCTGGAAGGCTTGAACGATGAATTCTGTTTTACAGACGATGCACCAATTCGTCTTGACGGAACTGACAATGCGAATCTCCCTACGAAACCATATAGCGATGGAGGAGAAAGAGCAACTCTGGTGGCTAAATACTGCGAACCCGCAGCGTGACGCATACGTCACGACCCCCTTTTGGAGGTACGCGTTGATTCCGATGCCCCAACTTCTGATAAGACGCGCACGCGCGTCGACTTACGGACTCTGGTGGTCTGTTCCGACAATATGGTAATCCTACTGCAGACATTGTACAGACACCCGATTCACAACACTGCTGGTTGCTGAGGCTGCCTCGCAACCCAGATTGGGGGAAGCAGGCTCCTTACGGGACACGTTACTCGAGCACAGTGCTCCTCGTCCAGTTGGCCAAAGTTTTTCGGAGGTGATCTTATCTGGCCACTCAGGGTTGCACCATTCCTTTCAGAAGTTTAGTACTGGTGTACAATTTTATTATTTTTTTTTTCGTGTACATAAATGATATTTTAAGTTGAGAATATTTGTGGCACATTTCAAGGCAATAGAAGAACATGCAAACCGCCTCAAACTAGTGATCAAGAAATTGAAGAATAACAAGCAGAATTTTGATAGTGAAAGGAGTGAATATGAATGGTTTGAAAATAATTTGTAAAATCTCTGTAGTGAATAGTACCTGGAAGGCTCATCTGACACATGCTACAGAATGTAGTAGCCATTCTACCAGATGTGGGTACATACTTGAATACGGTAAATCAACACTGAACATAGTATTCTGCATGCTTCGCCATTGCTCTTGGGTAGGTCACACTGCTCTTGCGAAAGTCTTTCTACATCAAAGACGCATGTAAGACGTTGACAAATCGGTTGGTTTTGTCATTCCTAACAGCTCAAATTTTTGGAGTCCTGCCATTCTGAGACTAAAAGAATCACACAATCCGCAAGTAGGTGCAAGATTCTTGCGATTTAAGGTCAATGAATATAAGAGTCGGAGCAAATTGCAATTGAACACGTGCTCCTGTTCACGCGTGCGGCAAACACTGAAAAAATGGAAACGGTACACAATAACGCTAGTCATGTCAAATCTCATATATGGGACAATGAAACTTCAATATACAAGCTAAGCCCGCAAAGGTCAAAACAGGCGTGGAAGAATTAGGGCCAAAACCCGTAAAATCTCCTGCGTTGAGGATCTAAGAATCTAGCTGCTCTAGCCTCACTCATGCTTCCTACAGGTTTTGAACTACCCAGTGCATACCATGAAGTTCTTGGCAGTGAAGCAGCCTTTGGAGGGGCAGAAACACTGTAGCGTCTGAATGAATCCGAAAGTTGTCGTAAGAACCCTCCAGAGCCACTCATAGTAGCCGAAGCAGAAAGAGGTTTCCGCTTTCGCTGTTCAAGATCCAAGGTTTCGAAGGGCCCCGAGTCGTAATCAACACTAATAAAGGTGGCGTCCCGCAGAAATCCTGTGTTCTGTGTTTCGGCCAAGTCAGAAGTGGGAGAAACTGTTCCTTTAGCCTGTCCGACGTCTTTGGCTTCTGTTTCATTGCACACAAGTTTCAAGGCCTGCACCACCTCGCCCATGAATGGTCGATGAGAGACTTCAGGTTGTACACACATGGACGCTATTGCAGCTACCTTCGCAAAGTGGTCAAATGGAAAGTTGTCTTTGAGGTAAGGATCCACAAGCTGCTCTAGTCCATCCTTGCTTGTAAGGAGTGGGCGTGCCCAAGTAACTAGATTCTCTTGTCCAGGTGGTTGAGACATATCCACGGGTTTACGCCCCGAGAGGAGCTCGAGCAGTACCACTCCATAACTATAAACGTCACTCTTCACAAGCAAATGTCCTGTCATTGCGTATTCAGGAGCCACATATCTGCAGTTTAGATCCAATATTTTGTCAGTGCAGAAACCAAGGCACGATCCTAATAGTGACAAATATGGCCATTTTGGAGGTAATCCGGTGCAAAGAAACAACTCATTCTGGACTTGTTTCACTCGGAACCAGTATACTAAATACTTTCCAATTACATGCATGGGATTTTATGAGGAGGAACTTCTTTTACGAAGATGTCGCTAACCCAGTTCTTTAAGGAGATGGACGGAACGGCAAGCTTACCCAAACGTGCCCATTACTCGAGTGGAAATATGCTCCTTGCCTCCCTCAGTTGCCGATTTAGCTAGACCAAAATCAGATACTTTTGGAGTGTAATCGTCCTCAAGTAGAATGTTGCTTCCTTTAAAATCTCTATGAATAACCCTAGGCTGAGAATCTTCGTGCAGGTATGCCAGCCCACGAGCAGCTCCTAATGCAATTTTAACACGTGCATCCCAGTTGAGAGGAGCAGTGTATTTATCTAGACCTGGAGGTTGCACAACAAAGTTCAGCTAAATTAGACACAATTTGTGGTCATATCTCCGTAAGTGACGTGCAAACCAACAACATCAAAGTGGTCTACAGTATCCAGGAGTACGTACCATGCAAGTGAGATTCCACGCTCCCGTTCGTGATGAGCTCATAAACCAAACATCGTATTTCCTCAGTACAGATGCCAATTAGCTTCACAAGGTTGCGATGGTGCAATCTGCTTAACATTTCTACCTCCGCAACAAACTCACGACCACCCTCATGATCATCCCTTGTCAGCACCTTTACAGCCACTTCAATACCACTATCAAGTACCCCTTGGTAAACTCGACCAAAGCCCCCTTCGCCGACTACATTATCAGGTCTAAAATTATCTGTTGCTCTTTCTAATTCTGCTAAAGTGAACGTCTTAGCAGTGCATGTGTAGTTGGCCATGCTAGATCCATAAGAAATCGTTGTAGAGCTTGCCATACTTCCTGATAATAATGACCCTGCAATAGCAAAGAAAGAGCTTAGAACGTCCAGTTTATCAAGGATGAAAATCAAGAACATAAGCAGGATCATACATGAAGATGGTATTCTGTGTAGAAGGTACTGCCACTGGGTAGACGTTATTGATAACCTTTTTAACCAACAGCTATCACTAGGCCATATTAGGACAGAGGATTGATCAAAAAAATAACCATACAAACTAGATGATAAACAATGACCATAGATCATTGCGTCTAAAAACATGTCGAGATGAAAGTACGGGACAAGGACTGGGAGCTGTACGAATCTAAAGAGAAAAATATTGGCAACCAGCAAGACTAGCCAAAAGTCCAACTAACGAATACGAAAGACATTTCACAATCTTCTAGAAGAAACATCATGATATTTTCCTATGAAAATCAAATGCGACACAACTCGATGGATCAGGTGCACACCTTCAGGTTTAGAGTTGAAATAAGCATTCATTCTCAGTTGGATCAGTTGCACACCTTCAGGTTTAGGGTTGAAATAAGCATGTAGAGGACCGACAACCGAAGGCGAAGTTTTCTCATCCAGGCTGCGGCGTAGGAGAATGAGCCATACAATCCCAATAAATAACAATACACCCATAACCGAAGCCAAAGCAATCACGGTAATCATTCCCGAACTGAGTTTATGATTTGTTTTATTTGGATCCACCCCAGATGGAAGCTGGTTGACAGGACCTGAAGGTGAAATATTCCCAGGGAACTGGGGAGGTGGAGAGGGAGGAAGACCTGCAAAACAAAAACTCCCCATGAATTAGGCTGACATGCAAATAATTGCTCGTTAAGCCACTAACAAGAAATTATGACTAGACATTTATATGTAAGTCGTGATGGACCTGGGCTTTCAACATTATATTAAATTGAGGCACAGCGACTGATTACCTGGGTAAATTATATAAATAACATAGTAGGTTCCAAATAGTGTCTTGTTCAATGGAACTTCACCACTCCACAAGCGTGTAGCAAGAAGATGGGCAGTGGTGTGATCAAATTTGGTATCTAGCGGCACAAAATCTGCACTCACGTTTGTCTTGTCCTGGTTGGGTTCAACAGCATTGGCTCCTACAATACGGACTTGACTAGTTTGTAAGAAGAGTCCAATGGCCAGTTCCTTGGCCAGCTCAGCCACTAGAGGAAAAAACTTTTCCAGCTTGATTTCAAGCCGAAATTGAGCGCGCATGGGGATGACACAGCTACATGATGGAGCGCCTGGCGGCGTGTAGGTGTAGCCATCTGGACAAGCTTGGTGGCAATCTGTTGAACCAACATAAATTCTCAAAATCGTTTGGTGAGATTCGTCATAAATACAGCGCTGAATCCAGAAGCTGTAACTACCAAGAAATGCTGGAATATAAATTATGGTACAACAATAAGAGAAGCAGCAGATAAGAGGCACGTCGCACCCAAAGAAAATTGCATCCCAGGTGTCTCACCTTCTGGATAGGTGAAATTAAAGGATGGAGGACTAATAGGTTCAAGTGGAGACGGCGCTGCAGACTCAGCTGAACATAGACACATGATGCAGTGTAGAATAGCCAGGATCAGAAGGATGCTATAACAACAATATGTTTAATGCCATACAAAGGCCGCGGGGTCATCGAAAACGTGAAAGTTAACACCCAAGTAGCACTCTAACAACGAAATATATTATGATAGCCTGAAAGAGGAACTATCCAATCAAAGAAAAATCAATTATCAGGCAGAACAGTTTCGAGATTTAAGATGACTTTCATGATCAATTCAAACAAAGAAATAACCCAGTATGCAGCAAAATCACCTGCTGCAGGGACTTCTGAAGGTGTGCTTGAAGGGGTGTCTCCTTCAGGTGGAACAGATGTTGCAGACACAGCCTGAGGTGCAGATGGACCAGGTAAATCTGTTAAAGATATGGATTCATCAGTAGAATTTCTCCCATACATTTCTTCACGGGAAGACAGAGATGGTCGTCTTTTTGCAAAATGAAACAAAGAGGAGTCTCCAGGGAACAATGATCCTCTGCCAGAAGGTACTTCTACTGCAATTCTGTCTCGGTTCTTATTAATGCGGCATGCTGTAGTGTCCTCAGGCTTATCTACACCATGTATCAACAAAAGGAATAAGATGCTAGAGGAAAATAGTATTAAGAAGACGGAGAAACAAATAAACCAGCTTTATCTGGGCACTCTGGATAAAATCCGTCAAGCCATTCACCCCCCTACAAAATTACGCTTCAGTTGCCAGATCGGAAAATGTCCACTCGGAATGTTAGTAAGATAGATAAAATACAGAACTTCGGGGTGAAATCGTACTAACCGTAAGTGAAGCCCCCAGTTGTTGCCGTCAGTAGTAACACGATCAGCAACTCTGCAATCCACCAGTGATTGCCACGCATTGTGACAAACGCTTAAACACATGAATACCGTTGAATGTAGCCCACTAGAGGCTACTACAATCGCTCTGCTTGTCTCAGCTGAAGCTTCGAATTGTTTGAATAAGTATAATGAGGTCGAAGTTACAACCCCACCTAGACGAACTGTGAAAGATTGTCGAGGTCCTCCAACCACCCTCGAAATAAAAAACCATAATAAGTACCACGATTGCAGAAAAAATGCTTGATAAGCTTTTGGAATCACTGCGTGCAGTCAAAATCAGACCTCCAAATGTTCATATCCAATGCATCCATGACCTTCCCTCCATCATTCACAATTCTAGCGTGTGGGCATGCCATTCCACTATCTCCTGTGTTCATGCGTCCTGAAATGCATCCCCCACAATCCTACAGTTTTTTTGCTTCGGCGTTGAAGTCCAGTAAAATGGGACAGTTGATCGCGGTGCCAAGTCCAAGCCCCACAACTCCGATTAGCTAGAGGTCCACGTTGCCGCATGAGAAACTGGTATTGGGAGACTCCCATTGTTCGGACCTTTTAAGTGCTGAATAAACTGACTTGTATGAGGAATTTCCTCGTTTTGTGACATCTGCAATGGCAATATGTTCCATTAAAAAGATATGGCGCCAAAAGTACAATGAAATCCAAAACGACAAATTCAAGCCGGTGAATTTGAGGTAAGGTGACGTTCAATAAGGCTGTTTACGACAAAAACTTATCTAGAAACTCAAAGGTGACAAGTAAATGAATCATAATTTCCAGGCTCACGTTCCTTATGCCGACAACAGTCACTTCAGATTCAGTTTCAAACCTAAATCTAAAAGACACTTATAAGGCCATTGAAAAATGAGAGTCAACATTTCGGTGAGCATACAAAAATGTCATAACATCTAAGTCCAACTTCGAGGGCAGTCAAAAGCTTGACCAAAAATAAATCCCTAAACTGAATGTAAATCATCAAGTGTGCAAACGCGGGCACGCTCAGAAGCGGGCACCAGAAAGTCACAAGGATGATAGTAGGCATTCTTCGACTGTAGTTTCATTAGGGAACTGAGCTGAAGCGGAAACCCTTCATACCGCAACATCAGTCATAATGCATTAGATTCCCCACCCATGACGTTAATGTACGCCGACCATAAGGTAGGTGGCATACTGGATCCTTCGGGCCTTAAGTAATGCAATTTCAGGAATATCTTACAGCATGAATAACCTTCAGCAAAATCACAAAGAAAACCCAAGACAACACTGAATGGCTACCTGGTGAAGAGCATCCAAGTCAAGAATAGAAAGCGGACGAAATCCAACGATAGTTATCTCAAGGTGCCGCAAGCCTCATGCGACCTCCTTGACCTTGATCTTGCTGTGAGAGTAACTAGAGTTACAGTGCACTGATCCCCTTCAAACTTGAACATATTCGAGGTGCGTAGCATTACTTTAATGCCGCCACTACGACCACTTAATCATAACTTCGCCTCCGCGCAATCCAAAGAACACGCGGAAAATGCCCGCTGCTGCTGTACCTGTCTCCAAGTGACCAAATGTAGGGGGTTGGGAGGTAAGAGCCAGCGATCATAGACCCGCCTACGAAAAGATGGGGGTCGCACACCCGACCTTCGTTGAGCGTGATGCAAAAGGGGATCTTCTAGCCCCCAACGAGCATTGCATGTAGTAGTACATAATCGACAAACAGTGCTGGGTAGGGATCAGGAAAAAGGACGCAACCTAACACCAGTATGTTCCCTGTCGCCCAGTAGCAATAGCAGAGGAAATCCAACACGAAAAGGTCCTCCGATTTGACACCTTCGCAAGCAGCAAAACAAGTTCAACACTACCCTCAGTGCTAGCCCACACACATTACGAGGGTGCGATCATTGATGGTGCCAGAAATAGGCGCGCAGCTCTCAATTACCGCACTCAGACGCGACATTCTCCAACTCTCATCTTGCACCCTAGAGAAAATGCAACAAGCGTGCTTGAGAGAAGATATATATATAAAAAAAAAAAAAAAAAAAAAAAAAAGGTAGGCGTCAAATCCACTGCACCACGCACTAGCCAGAAACACTCTCGGCCTGGCGACACCGACACCAAAAACAACGCATCATCCTCCACTGGCATGGCTTTCAGAAATGCCACCGCCGTAATGAAATCACCATTCTGAAATCTAAACCGAAACCCCTGCTTCTTTCAAATCCTCCCGCTCACAAGCCCTCCAACACAATGAGCCTCTCGCACGGGGCGGGAGACACAGTCGCGTGTAGCAACGAGCACATGTAACGACGCGGGATGGTGGTAAGAGGGGGGGGGGGGGGAGAAGAAAAGGCCACAAAGTAAAAGCAGACGGTATTTGAAGGGTCTGAGGGACTGGCAGCAGCGGAGAATAAGGCGGGAGGAGGAGGGACATTATTGACCGAGAGAGAGGGGCCGGGGGAGTAGTTGTAGTCGTAATAGCCTAGCCTAGTCTAGCATAGCAGCAGTGTGTGTGTGTGTGTGTCACGATCCTATCTTCTTCTTCTTTGCTGTAGAATCGGCGCCATTGCAACAACACTCACCCCCCCCCACCCGTCCTGTCGCGACCCTTGCGGTCGGAGCCAGGCTCCCGATTCGTTCCCGAACCTCTGTTCCCCGCTTGGGTACGCCTGGTGTGGTCGGGATCGCTTTCGGTTCCATTGACGTTCTCAACGGTGAGCAAATTCTGTGCAGGTGCTGCCAATTCATTGCGAAGCTCAAAATCTGATTTGGTTAGAATTGAAGTGGCAAAATATTCAAAATAGGTTCTGACTTTTTTTCTTCATTTCATTTTTCTTTTTTCCTTTTTTTCCCCACTTCTATTGATGTTTTAGTTACTTCAAATTCAATCTTTGTTGTCAAGTTGCATGACTTGTAGCAAATTGTTTGCTCCTCTTGCCTCTTGCATGTTGTATTGGTTTACTTGCATGTCTCCTCTTGTAAATTTATTTGTATGAAAAGTGTTGAATTTTTATCTCAATCAATCAGAATATATATATATATATATATATACAAAATACGATAGGTGAAAATTTTCATTTTATGCAAGGGACATAAGGACAAACATATAAAAAGTAAGAGATTAAAAAAAATAGAATAGGAACAAAAACTATATACAAGAATAAGAATGAAATAATACTTGGATTATTTTAAAACATGTGTGATACATGATTAAAGTGTCTTTCATCTTATCTAATAGATTACTACAACAAAAAAACTAAATTGTGTTGTTAAATCGATTTTAATAATTTGGTCTAAATTAAGACTTTGATGATGTAAAATACATATGAACTCACTATCCAACTATCAAGGATTATAGAGAACTAACTCCTTAAAATGAGCCTCAAATTTTAATTCTTATAGCACAAGTTTGTGATTTATTGATATGGACTTTCTAGTATGAACACACTGATAATTAGCTTAGCTTCCAATGTCAAATTGACATATGGACACTTATCTTATTAAGTCACATGACAACTTGGTAGGTGGTAATAACAATATATTGACTCTTGGCTATTATGGGAGCTACAAGTTGTCAATTAATATTGTATTATATGAATTCTTACTTGAGAATGCACTAGACACATAGTTGTGGAAGATAAGCACAAATGCAATGACAAAATCCTATCAAGTCTAATAGAGTTTTAAATAAACCTTAAACAATCTTTAATAATCCTAATCAAACTTTAATCAATTCAAAAGAAATTTAAAAGAAGTTACAAAGGAAACATAAAGAAGTCATAATTAATTCTAAAGAATTTTTTTAAAATTCTAAAAATAATAAAAATAGAATATATATAAAAATAAAAATTGACTTAAAGAAATATTAAAAATAGAGAATTTTAAAGAAATAATAAAGAATCATAAATACTAAAAACAAAAAGTCCTTAATAAATTCTAAATAAATTCTAACTAAATCTTAGATCAAATCTTAATAAAATCCTAATAAAATCTTAATGAATCTTAATCAAATCTTAGATCAAATCCTAATTAAATCCTAATCAAATCTTAACCAAATCTTAACCAAATCCTAATTAAATCCTAACCAAATCCTACACCAAATTCTAATCAAATCCTAAATCATAACTAAATTTTAATCAAATACTAAGCCAAATTTTAAACAAATCCTAATCAAATCCTAAATCCTAAATCAATCCTAATCAAGCCTTAATCAAATTTAAATCTTAAAAAAATACTTAATAAATCCTATAATAAATTAAAATTTTAATAATTAATAATTTAATCATTAAATTTAATTAAATATTTATACACTTCTTAATAACTAAGTTGGAAATAAGCACAAAAAAATTGAAGAAAATTGATCGTGCCAAATAGAAGTTAATTCCTAAAATTTGCTTGGGTGTTGCTTGACTTTCTTCTTTAACCTTAATGCTAATATTTTAGAGTCAAAATCTCTTAATTTTACCATTCAATAGGTCTCAAACTTTGTACAATTGTTGGAAGCTAAATTTTCTACTTGTATGCAAAATTTTATTTGAATGCAACTGGCGAATTAATAGATATCTTAAAAATCCTCATTAATCCTTTAAATTCCAAATCTCAAGACTTCAATATGCTTGATCTTTAATAAACTATGAAAAAATCATTATATCATGCTCAAAATTACAATACAAATTACAAAGTATAATTATCATTTAAAATGATAATTTGAATCACAAAAATTTGAATTACAAAAATCATTCAAAAATAATCTTAATTTTGAAAAATCTTTATAAAGTTTTTATACACTCAAATCACTTGAAATCAATGCCCAAAGAACCTTTCTTCTATTTGCTCTTAAATCCCATTCTTTGATCAACCAAAAAAACTTAGAATTATTGTGAATATGCATATTTTTTATCTTAGGATTTGATTTCGACATTGGTTGACAACCGGTCCTCTTTGAGTATCAATTCTTGGTAATTTGAGGTAATTTTTGCTTAAATCTATTATTTAACTTTCTTTTAAAGATGCCTAAATTAATTAATTATCTCATTTACTTTGATTTGGCTCATTTATGCTACTACAAAATAAATAGAAATCTCTTTTATAAATAAGAAACATTAAGATTAATTTTTTTATTACTTTTTTATTATTTATCCTTATCCTTCTATTATATCTTTTTATTAGACTCTTCTATAATAACATTCGTATTTTTTATTTTTTATCATATAGTCATGTTACCACATGATACCAATAATGCAATTTCAACCATTTATACATTTAATTATATAATGTCTAATAAGAATCACACATGTGTATCTATATTTTTTTAATACTTTTATTTAATGATATATTAGATTATTAGATTATTAGACTATCATATTAGATTATTAGATTATTAGACTATCATACTAGTCTATTTTAATATAATAATTTCTATCATCTCCTTGAATTTGCAATGCTTTTCATAAGTTAGTCTCTTAGTTAAAATATCCACAACCATATCTTCAATATTACAAAAAAGTAAGTTGATCTTGCTATTTTTAATCTTTTTATAAATGAAGTGATGTTGAATTTCAATATTTTTAGTACAAGCATAAAATATAGGATTTCTTGAAAAAAAATGTAATTGTGATTATCATTGAAAGTATATAGAATCATCTTGTAAAAATCCAATATCTTTAAATAACTTATGAGATCAAACTACTTCTTTTATTGCATCCGTAGTTGTCATGTATTATTCTTCAATGATAGATAAGACAATTGTTGTTTGCTTCATATTGTTTCAATTAATAATACTACTAGCCAATAAAATTGCATAGCTAATAGTAAAGTATTGAATGTCAATATCTCAAGCATAATGTACATCATAATAACCAACCTCTTACAAACTTTAAGAGCTTCCATAATATTGTAGCATATGATCCTACTTGTCTTTTAAATATCAAAATATCTGCTTATTAATGATTTAATGTTGTAGAAAAGGATTTATTATATATTGGCTAATAACTTGTATTACATATGTAATATTGGCTAAAGTACCTATCATTGCATAGACTAAGTTACTAATTATACTTAAATATGGAACATCTTTGATTGCTTTAATTTTCTTAGGAATTTGTGGACTCATATTTCTTGAAAATTTTTTATAACAATCCAAAGACGTACTCAAAGGTTTACAATCTTCCATAACAAATCTTTCAAGTATACTCTCTAAATATTTCAATTGACTGAAGTAAATAACGTGATTCCTTATATTTCTTATAACCTACATGCCTAAAATATAATAGATTTCTTCCAAATCCTTCATCTCAAATCTTTTGACTAAGTAATCCCTTATCTTCAAAAGAAGTTTCTTATTGTTGTAGATCATCTACGTAAAATATAATGATAATGAATCCATTAGTAATTTTTATAAATTTAGGAACTATATGGCTTTTCTTCAAACTTTGTGAATTAAAGTAATCATCTTTTTTCTTGTACCATGCCTTTAAAAAAAATTTAAGTCGATATGGAGTTTTACAAAGCTTACAAATCAAAGAATCTTTATCTTCTAATATGTAACCTTTATGTCAATCCATATATATCTCTTCTTTAAGATCTCTATTCAAAAATATCGTCTTCACATCCTTTTGATGAACCTCCAAATTATCAACTACAACAAATCTAAGAAGTATACAAATTGAGGTCATTTTTGCAATCAAAGAAAAAAATTTAATGTAATCAATACCTTCTTTTTGTACATAACCATTGGCAATAAGTCTTACCTTATAAAGATCTATTGAACCATCAATATTGTATTTAAACTTAAAAATTTACTTACATTCAATAGATTTTTTATCTATTAGTAAAGCTATTAAAGTCTAAGTCTTCTTATCTATAAGACTTTTATATTCTAACTTTATTATTTCTTTTTACTTATAAATATCATCATTTTTCATAACTTTAGTGATAGTAACATGTTTTTCAATACTTGTTCAAAAAGCATGTGCCATATAAGTTAAAGATACAAAAGACTTGGAAGGAATTTAAGCCAATATTGATTCATTAATAACTTATTTTTTTACCAATTTACATGCTCATGAAAATAAATTAGCATAGGTAAAGATAAAATTGGAAGTAGAAATAGACATGCAATTTTACCAATTGGCTAATGACTAAATACGCAAGCCAATGATTGAATTTCTTTTATTGAAGATGAAGGTTCAATAGTAGGAAATTATTGACTATTGCCATTATTTAAATCTCTCATCTTATCTTCACTTTTTCTTTCAAAATTCAATGTAGAATCTATAGACTTAATTTTAACTAGTGCTTGTAAAAAATTATTGTTAGAAACTTCTAAAGTTTCTTCTATTTACTTACTTTTTTCA